AATCCCACTGTTCTTCTTCTGTAAGGCTTTGAGGTATGCCTTAATCAATTTAGAAAGCAGCAAGCTGTGATTGCATCTAGCAATAAAGCACACTCAGCCTCTTCTACTGTGCCAAATTTAGCCATAAATGTCTGAATTCAATTCCTAATTTTCCATAGATTTCTAGCAATGACTCAGGCAAATAAGTAAATCTTCCTCAGCCTGTTCCACGGCTCCTGTTCACTGAATTGTGAGTATCCATGGGGACAAGGACTGCTTTAATGCCTTTGGAAAATGAGTTCCCCCTGGGTAAATCTCCCTGTGCTTCAGTAGTGCTGCTGACAAATAGCAGGCTGTAACTTGGCCGAGAGTTACTGACTGAAGAAGAATGTTGGCAGGATTCTGATAGGGAATGAAGCTGTATAATCTTTTTTCTTGATTTGCAAGTTGTCTCATGGCATGTACTGTTTGTTCACAGAGAGGGGATTTTATCCTTTAGGATTACTGTAAGTGATAAGTGCTTAAAACTGAGTATACGGGGTGTGGGAATGAAAGGTCCTGGATGCTATTAAACATTTATGACATGGGCAGGATAATACTAAAGATACAGGACTGGTACATGAAAGCAGAACTGTGCTTCTGTCCATAAATCCACAGGAAACCGACAGTTCCACAGGAGACAGCTGGCAGTGATTTCACACTCGAGGCCATCTCTGATTAGAAGAGTAGTTGTGGTACATGAGCAAAAGTACATACTTGGAATGCAGATGTGAAAATGGAATGATCTGTACAGCTGTTCATTCTGCTGATGTAGGTATTTGATTTCTGTCCCTGGCTAAGAAGTGCCTCTGGTTTTTCTTTCTTTGTCACCAGCATGGGTCAGGCTTCTGCATGATGGAGGTGAGCCCTGCCCTTGTTTCTGACCTAATGCTCCTCCTTGCCTTACAGTCATGCCTTCATCTGTTCAAAATGAGAGAAAATGAAATAGCCATCAGTAAATGCAGCTATGTCAGTTTAAGAATTTAAAAACAAAACACAAAACTCTCAAGAAAACAGTATTTATAGGCTAGCTGGACACAGAAGTCCTTAGGCCAGGAAGTAGGTAAGATATCCAAGTGTTTAAAGTAGTTTAAAATTTTTTAACATTAGTGAAAATTCAAGACTTTAAAAGGAGAAAATTAAAAAATTTCTGTGAAACTGCAAAGCAACACAACTTTCTAGTTTGCAACAGCTGTGCTCCAGTCCCTGCTCCTACATGGTTCTACGCATTGAATTTGAAAAATTTATGTAATCTTCTTTGCAAGAGCCCTTTTCTTCATGGTGGGGCGATGGAGTTCATTCCCAAATCTGTTTGCTCCTTGTAAGGAATTAGGCAAGAAACTTGACCTTGTCTGTTAATCTTGGAAATCTTCTGAAGGCTCAGGTGAAAGCCAGTCTCCTGCTTGTATAATTTTCAGATCCTTAGTCAGAGCCCATATGTTACAACCTGGAGGAAATGATGCTTGGGGATGACTAACTGAACATGTTCCTGCTGTTAATTTGGGTGTCATTCCAGAAATTTAATTAGTAAGTTTTCCCTTTCCTTTTGTTAGCACATTTACTTACTAAAATTCCTGTCTTTGCAGTTGTTCCCCATAAGGAACTTAATGAAGAGATAAATTTTATATTAACAGAGAGAAGCTTTTGTTTTTCCCTGGCTGTGATGAGTAGGGAGAAGCAGAGAACATATATGTGTTAGATTAGCAGAAATTTGATTATAGATAGGATATTCACTTCTTTGTATCTTCCTGCTTCAAACACCATGTTAATACAGTTTAAATGAGTGTGGGATTTACCAAAATTGAGGCTCTAAAGTGCTAATTGGAAATTCATGGAATCACAGAATGGTTTGGGTTTGAAGGGACCTTAAATCCCATCTTGTCCACCCCCTGCCATGGGCAGGGACACCTTCCACTGTCCCAGACTGCTCCAAACCCTGTCCAGCCTGGCCTTGGGCACTTCCAGGGATCCAGGGGCAGCCACAGCTTCAGGGCAACCTGTGCCAGGGCCTGCCCACCCTCACAGTGCAGAATTTCTTCCTCATACCCAGATGATCTTTAGGGCCCCTTCCAACCCAAACTATTCCATGAGTCTATGACCACCTTTCTTTGTCATGACCTTTCCAAACAATCCTGTTCTCTATCTTAAAATGTAATGCCTAGAGGTTGTTTCAGGCTTGCACCCTTAGCTTCAGGATGAGGACATTTTGCCTTGTGTGGGTTATACTATGGGGAATGAGTGTCTGTGATCCCAGTGAAGGTTTCTTGGGTTTGGATTAAACCCTGAGTGAGTCATGCAGTTAAACCGGTGTGTCTGCTGCTTCAGAGTAGAAAACACTTTGCCCCTTAAGCCATTTCAGAATCAGCTTATGTTTTTGCCAGTGACTCCTGTGTCAGGTTCAGCCTGGAGGAATTTCAAGGAGGCTGCTTGAGCCCTGGTGGCACTGGAGACCCTCCCGTGGTGGAGGCTGCAGCCGCAGGAGTGGCCACTCTGCCCGGGCCCTTGCCTCTCCAGCTGGAAGACAATGCTCAATTCTTCAACAACGCTCAATGCTTTTTCATCAATCTGATGAAAAAATAATCCAGATTTTTTCTACTGTAATTACAAATAAAACACACATTTGCCTTTCAGAATCACTTTGTTGCAGTTGCCAAAATTATCCTGCTCATAATACGTAGAATATACAGAATATGGTTGTGTGCTGAAGGATAGTTTTAAAAGTTGCCAATAAAGTAGCAGTGGAAAAGTTCTCACAGTGCTCAGAAACGAGTCAAGCACTATGGTATTACCTTTTTTTTTTCTTTTTTTTTTTTCCTTTTTTTTTCCCCACATTGGAAAGTTTTTGCAAATCTGCTGGATCTATGTGGCCACCTTTCCTTTCCTCTGCCAGCTCCCACTCTGCTCTTCCTGCCTAGAACGAGGACTTGCTCCTTCTCCTTCGTAACAGCAGTGTGTCTGGTTTATTCTACAGGTTTTAAATTAGAAGGAAACTCAGCAGTAGGGAAGAAGTGATGGATTTGGGAGCAGTTCTGTGGCTCTTCTTGCCTGACTCGTTAGACAGCCTGGTTTTTTTTTTTTTTGTTTTTTTTTTTTTTTTTTTTTGTTGTTGTTGTTGTTGTTGTTGGTTTTTTTTTGGTTTTTTTTTTTGGTTTTTTTTTTTTTTTTTTTTTGTTGTTGTTGTTGTTGTTGTTGGTTTTTTTTTGGTTTTTTTTTTTGGTTTTTTTTTTTTTTTTTTTTTGTTGTTGTTGTTGTTGTTGTTGGTTTTTTTTTGGTTTTTTTTTTTGGTTTTTTTTTTTTTTTTTTTTTGTTGTTGTTGTTGTTGTTGTTGGTTTTTTTTTGGTTTTTTTTTTGGTTTTTTTTCTTTATTTTTTTGTTTTAGAAGAAAGGTGGCTAGTGCAGAGCAGCAGAGGTGCTGCCTGGCTCGGCTGTGGGCATTCCATGTGCTGCTGTCCCTATGGAGCATGGGGGGCTCTGACTGCCCTGGGGACCCAGGCCAGGTTATTGCAGGCACCCTGCACAGCCCAGTCCCAGGGCTGCTGCTGCTGCTTGGGCAGGGTTTGCTCTGATGCTGCTCCACGGATCTCAGAGGGAACAGAGAGCACCCTGAACAGCCTCAGTGCCAATGGGAATGCTCCCCCCATGCACACACAGCACTGTGGCAGGGTTTTGTCATCCTCCAAGAGCCAAATTATGGTTCCAACACTGTTTCCTCTGATGAAGTCTCCGTGTGAAGCGTTCGTAGCCATGGGAATTCTCACTCCCATCTTGAACTGTCTGGGATTGTGGGTGAGGACAGGGTGTGGAAATGGCAGTGGCTGATGCTTTTGCATCTGGGCTACAAGTCAGCTCTGTTCCCGTTTAATTCACTCTGTGTGCATAGGACTGCAGCTCATGTAGACGTGCCTAAGTGACTTGAGAAAAGAAGGAAGTCTGAGGTTAAAATATGAACTAATTAATCTTGGGGATTGGTGTGCCTTTGGCTTTCTGAGTAAGAGCACCTTCTAAAGATCCCAAAATCTCCATTTCTAGGGCAGGGGTGGGCAGTGCTTTGGCCAAAGGGGGCAAGCCAGGCAGGCATGATGGTGGGGTCTGGGGTGGAACTCCCCTGCTGCTCTGTTTCATCATCCTGGGAGGTTGAAGCGAGTGTCCGGGCTGCCTGTTTGAGGTCTCCATGTGCTGGGGAGGTCCCAGCAGCCCCGGAGCTTCTCTTGAGCCATGGGAAAGACAGAGAGGCTCTGCATGTGCTGGACAGGGTCACGTCACAGCCTGGAGCTTGTGGGAAATGCCCTGAAATTCCTGAGGAAAGCCAGAGTAGTAGAACATGACATTTTCACATTTCTAACGTAAAGAATTTCCATGCATAAGCAGCCTATGCAAGAAGCTGAAGGACAGCTGCAAACACTTCTTTTACCAAAAAGAAGGGAAAAGTCTCTAAAATGAAGCAGAACAGCAAACACATAGAAAAATTGACGTGTTTGGATTTTTTTGGAAGGTAACATGGTTTTAACTGACCCTGAGGATGGGCTGTAGAACCAGTGTGGTGAGCTGCACGGACCTCAGCTGGTGCTGTGTACCAGAGCATCACAGGAGCAGCTGAGGGCAGTGGGAGCTGTTCTGGCTGTGAGAATATCCATACCTGGAAATAGCATCCTGTGGGTATTAATCCCTTGAATAAGGAGCCTCACAACACCCAAACGTGAAGAAATAGCTGAGGGTTGATCCATCATGCCACAGATGTGTTCATGGTGCCTGAAATATTAGTGCTGTCAGGAGCATGGCATAGCACAGGCATCTCTTTGTCTTCTTGATACTGGATTTAGGCCGAGTGCCCTAGTTCACAATGCTGCTGCTCTCTTACATAAAAGATTTTATAATTGCTCTTGACACAAGCATAAAACAAATCTAAAATTCTGAATACCCTGGCAATGCAGAGCTTTTATTTTTGTCTGTCGCTAATAATAATGTCTCATTTTGGCTTATAGGACAGAAAACTCACAAAAGTAGAGAGGCAGAGATTTAAAGAGGAAGCAGAAATGTTGAAAGGTCTGCAGCACCCAAACATCGTGAGGTTTTATGACTTCTGGGAATCCTGTGCAAAAGGCAAAAGATGCATCGTGCTGGTTACCGAGCTGATGACCTCTGGAACGCTGAAGACGTAAGTACTGTGCTCCTGGCAAGGGGCTAAGAATAGCAGCAGGCATTTATAGCAAAATCCTACTTTTGTATGCTGAAAAAAGCCATCTCCAGATAAAAGCAAAAAATTGAGCTGTTCTCTGGTGTCTGTCGTTTGAACCGCAGTGGTTTGACGGGCAGAATTTTGGCCTCCATGTCTTTCTGCCTGCTTCCCTGTTTCGGTTATGCAAGTCGAAGCTGTTGTCTGGTGTGTTTCATCTTCCACCTGTGACGTTTGGATTTGTCAGGGTGTGTTTTGTGCTTGCTTTTCGGCTTTTATTTGCATGTTTTGTTAGGGAATTCAAATGGAGTAGCACTTGAATGGTAGAATCTCTAAGAAGCTGAAGGTGCTCTAGGTTATCTCCTAAAAATATATTAATTAATAGCTTCTGGTACTGACAGTCATGCTAAGGCTGATATAAAGCAGTTGGCGTGAATTTTGGAACAGATTTTCAGCCCCAGTGGGAGCAGTACTCAGCCAGTGTGCTACTCTGCCGGTGCATTAGCAGACCCTACATCTCCCCCCAGTGCCCCATCCCAACCAGCGCTTCAGGCAAATAGAAAGAAATGCAGGTGTGTGGTACAAAGGTCTAAGTTTTGTGGTTAAAATTAAACTCCAGTATTCTTCTGATTCTAAATATACGAACATATTCTAAAGCTCTTCGCTGCATTAAATGAATCACTGAACTCTTGGACTTCAAAATATTTGGTTGTATTTGCACCAAAAATGCATATTATCATCCTTCCTGAAACTGAATGCTCTAATTCCTCCTTTGAAAAGATCTATTTCATTCCATTTTGGGATATTTCTGTGCCGCTCTTGCGGCGTCTAATAAGGGGCTTTTATCCATAATGGAGTTTCAGAAAAGTTAAGCTATGCTGTTAAAGCTCCTCAAATCACTAACAAAATGTTTTCACTTCTGTTATACCCACTTGTGTGTATGTTGTGCTCCAGGTATCTGAAGAGGTTTAAAGTAATGAAACCTAAAGTCCTGCGGAGTTGGTGTCGGCAAATCCTGAAGGGTCTTCTTTTCTTACACACAAGAACTCCACCAATAATTCACAGAGACTTGAAATGTGATAATATTTTTATTACTGGACCAACTGGATCTGTGAAAATAGGAGACTTGGGTCTGGCAACACTCAAAAGAGCTTCATTTGCCAAAAGTGTCATAGGTAATGCTCCTGTTCTCCTTGGCTTCCCTCGGTCAGTATTGTGGCTGCCTATTTAACATCTTCCTTTCCCATTTTGCATTAGTGGTTTTTAAGTAGCAGATTGGTAGTGGAAGTTAAAGTGGGTTTGGGACTGTTGCCTCTATACCCCTGTAAAAATAGGAATCAGTAAGTAATGGTATCATGACTTCCTCTTCTCCTTCCTCCTGTATCATCCTTAATGCACAGGGAGCCCAGAACCAGTGAAGTCAAAACAACAGAAATTTCAGATATGTGCTTGGCTACTGTGGGTCTGCTTAATTGAATTTATTTTAATGAACTCCTGTTTGTTTATATCTGTTAAGTTTCTCTTATTTTTAACTTCTGGTAACTGGGGTTGGTTTTCTCTGTTGAGGGTCAGTATTTCTTCAAATAATTTTTTTGCAGGGTAACAATTGTTCATGGGACATATTGGAATAATATCAATAATAACAATACCAGGAATAATATAAGTAATACCAATATTGGGAATAATTCCAGAAGTACTTATACTGGAAATAATATCAGTAATACTGATATACTGGGAATAGTATCAGTAGTACCAATACAAGGAGTTGCATCAGTAATACCAATATTGGTAAGAATATTAGTAACACTTATACAGGTTTTTGTAAAATCAGTTATGAACAGAACACCATTAAAATACACTTATGTCTGAAAGGAATTTGATGCTGTAAGGGCTGCAGGATGCTGGCAAAGTGTCTGCGTTCATTTTGGCAATAAAACTGAGCTTATAATTTTCATGAGTAGTACTGCTCCAAGGAGAGAATTAAGGAGGCTTGAAAACACTGGTGATGAGTAATGCTGCCCCTCTGCAGAGGGAGTAGCTCTAAAGGCATATGAGTAGCTGCATTTCACATTGTCTGCAAGGGGTGAAATCAGCACACTGCGGTGTCTCTGCGGGAGCCCAGCCAGGGCAAACCTGCTCCTGCCAAGAGCAGCTGAGTGTGTGCTGAACAGCTTCACATCTAGCTGGGCTGTTATGTTGAAGGATGCTTGTGGGTATTCCTTTCCACCCCAAGGAATAGGGGGAAATGTCACTTTTGTCCTGTTTTGGAATGGTGCCAAGTATTCAATTTGCTTCTTAGACGATTGCTATCACTTTTTCAGGTTTGTTTTAAATGCTCTGTAATTCGTGAGATTCACTCCTGCTGCTGAGTCGTGTTCCTTCTGAAGCAAGGCAGCAGCTCCAAAATAATTTCCTGTGGCAGCCGTTAACCCTTTTTGAGCAGCAGCCTCTGCCTTGGTGATGGCTGTAACAAACACCCAGAGAGAGGGACTACACTGAGCCTCCATGACACGGGTCTGGCTGGTTTGCTAAGGCTGGAGGAATGAGTGTCTTTGAGATGGAAGGACAAGGTGGAAGAACATAAACATGGGACGAGATCAATCTTGAATTTTCTGAAATTAATTTTACAAAAATGCTTGTTCACGAGTGAAGTCGAGTCTACATCAGAAATGTATGCAAAAGCAGACCCTACTTTTGAGGGTTGTCCTTTATGTTGCCATTTAAAAAGAGTTTAGGGCAAGTCAAAAAATCCTATAATGGTTTGGATCAGAAGAGGTCATAAAGATCATCTTGTCTGCCATGGCTGGGATATCTTCCACTACCCCAGGTTGCTCCAAGCTCCATCCAGCCTGACCTGGGACACCTCCAGGTGTGACGTTTCCTCAGTTTCTTTAGGGACTTGGCTGATTGCTTGTAACTGGAGAAGGGGAGATTTAGGTTGGATATTAGGAAGAAACATATTAATGTGAGGGTGGTGAGGCCCTGTCACAGGGTGCCCAGAGCAGATGTGACTGCCCCTGGATCCCTGGAAATGTCCAGGGCCAGGCTGGACAGGGCTTGGAGTCACATGGGATAGTGAGAGGTGTCCCTGCTTCTCAGGGGTGAGGTGGCTGGGGTGGATGGGATGATGGGGATGGATGGGATGATCTTTAAGGTCCCCTTCCAATCCAAACCATCCTGGGATATGCCAGAACTACTTTTTCTGATTCTGTGTTACTTAAATTACAGTTGTGCTTTTGCTGCTGATTAATGATGGCATAACAAAGCATTGATGGATCTGCCAGGACTGGGGGCAGTTTGGGTGCTGAGGCTGGACAGGCAGGGTTTATCTGGGTCTTTCTCATGGTCCAAGACCTGCCACTCTCTTTTTGGCATCCCAACAGCTTGCTGCTACTGGCCCTTGCACCACCCTTGTTACTGTCCCAATACACACCGTTGCATTGATCTATCTTCCTTAATGTTTTCTAGGTAGAAAGGAAATAAATTAATAACAGTATGAAATGCAGTTCCTGGAATGAATTACCCAAGTGTTAATAGTTCTCTTTTGCTTTGTAAGCCCCTGCTTTTCAGAGTAGTTTGCTGAGCAAATGTTGCAGGTGTAGGAAGTTGCTGCTTGTCCCCAAGCTGCAGCTCCCAGTGCCTCACTTCATATTTACCAAGTTGCATCAGATTCCTGATACCCTAATTCCTATTGAGTAGGACCTTGTTCTGTGAGTAGTCTCATTGATTTGTCCCACTAAACCAGTGACAGAATTAGGTTTGATGTTTTGTGCATGACTCTGTAGGTGATTTGTCATACTACTGGCTTCCAAAGTGCTGTCTGCTTGCTGGTGGTTACTCTGTATCTCTGGAGGAAACAAAAAAAAGGCAAATTTGCGCTGAAAAGCAAGAGTGAAGGTTCTCTTCTTCCCTTCTCACCTCCCCAGCCCTGTACACAACCTTCTCTCCAGCTGGACAGAAACCATTCTATCACTTCAGTATAGGCAACAAAACAACCATAGCTCATTTTCTTGACCATTTTTGAAATTTTTTGTTCTTTTCCTTCCCCCTCCCCTTTCTCCTGCTTCCCCTCTGCCCCGCTTCCCCACTTTGGATTATTGTCAGCAAGCCATGGGCATGGAAGTGCATACATTGACACTGGATTTCCCCCCTGGGTGATGCTTGAGCTCTTTTGAAATTATCTTGCATGCACCTGTACACAGTTTTTCTCAAAGGTGAAAAAGCTTGTGGTTAAAGCCGTTTGGACTCCTGTAAAAAAATCAACATTATCTTTGTACGTCTGTGTAGGTACACCAGAGTTCATGGCCCCGGAAATGTACGAGGAACACTATGATGAATCTGTGGATGTCTATGCGTTTGGAATGTGCATGCTGGAAATGGCTACCTCAGAATACCCTTACTCAGAATGCCAGAATGCTGCTCAAATCTACCGGAAAGTAACCTGTGTGAGTACGCATCCTTAATTGGTGTTGGATCCTGTCACTGGAAGGTTCAAAAGCATATTTTGGTGAGGTGTCGGTACTGCTGAGTGTATACTGTGTTCTAGAAGTTGAGGTGTCTGAGCTCTGTGTTGCACATACGGCTTACGTGTAAGCTTACAGTTCTACACTTGGAGTGTGTTTTGGTACAGCTACATTGAATATTTTCAGTTATCTTTGTCGCTGATTTTATCTCCGTTGGCCACAAATACGGCCCAATGGGCTTGTGCTTGGTAGTTTATTTCTTCTTAGAGTGTTGCTTCCAACCCAGAGTCACTCAGAAATAATTTTAAAGCCCACAAAAGGCCTTGGAAACTGCTCAGAAGTGCAGTTACCTTCATCCTGTGGCTGTAGCCGCTCCCTTGGCATTGCAGGGAGGTGAGTGTGTGCAGCCATGGATCTGCTGGCTGCTGACCATGCTCTGCACCATGGACTGGCTGCAAACCATGCTGCAGCTTCTCAGTGACATGGAATGGGTTTGATGGCTCAGGGGAGTTCCTTGACTTTATCCCTGTTATTCAAAGCTCGGTTGGGCAGGGCTTGGAGCTAGCTGGTCTAGTGGAAGGTGTCCCTGCCCATTACAGGGAGGTTGGAATGAGATGGTCTTTAAGGTGCCTTCCAGCCCAAGCATTTCTGTGATTCTGTGATCATAGAGCCACATGGTTACTCCGTGTTGTTATTCCATGGCTCTTCATCACAGTGTTTATTAGCTTTGGCACAAGGTATGTTGGCTCTGTTTTGGTATGGTCCTTCAGATGTGGCCTAAATGCTACCAGTGTGGGCAGCTTAGGGGGCACCTCCTTGTACTCTAGAGCCTCACAGAATGGCTCACAAGAAGCTCTTCTAATTTCAGGCTGTGTAGCCTCATGTCCTGCATGTGAGACCAGTCAGGTACTCAGTATCACCATGGGGAAGGTGTGTGTGCACCTGGAACCACAGAGAACATCGAGCTCTTCATTGCTCCATGTACCCAGAGAAGCTGTGTGCACACCTCGTAGCCCTCTGGAATATTGGTAATTAAGACTTTGCAAGGCTCCTAAGCCTCATTTATCAAAGCAATAGCCAAGATGGCAAAGAATAGTGATTCAGAATCAGAAGATTTCTAATTAGATGTTATATTTCAATTTTTAGACTTAAGTAGCCATTGTTTTAAACACTGATGGAAGCCTAAGCCAACTCATTTTCTATGGCAGTAACATTTACACAGCTCATTATTAGATGGTAAATTATTATATTTTGGTAAAACTGGCTTTATACTGGCAGCTTCAGAGAGGAGGCAGATTGTGTTTATCATATAGAAAAAACAATGGTGGAGAAGCTGTTGAGATGTCCTTGTAGGGGGTATTTTTGAAGCAGAGCTGTCTGTCAGGGAAAGCTGAAGACAAAAGCATCAGGTACCAGCACGGAGGGTGTGCAGTTTTCATCTGAATTTGGGGTGGTTGCAGTGGGAGCAAAGACAGCAGGATTCCTTAGATGGCAAAATTGGCATTACTGTTTTTCCAAGGAAAGGGTTAACCAGCTCCCTGTGGAGTGGAGAAAGCCCTGTCAAATGCCATGAGCTGCACAACTGTCAGGCAGGAAGGAGGAGCTGGGGGTGGACCTCTGGGGTGAGGGTGCAGGAGGAGCCTCATCCTGGGGGAGATCCTCTGTCCTAGGAGGAACCTTCTGGTGGGCTCAACAGCTTCTCCAGCATCCTGGAGCTGCATCTGCAGGGGAGCTGCCAACAGCAGGGACCCTGCTCCGGGCAGCGTGAGTAGCCTGCGGGGTCTGAGGAGGTGGAGGAATTTGGGGTCTGGGGTCCTGAGCCGGCACCATGCAGTGGGTGGGGCAGTGGCTACAAAAAGACAAAGTAACTCTGCGATCACTTGGATGAAGAGTTAGGTTTGGTGATGCAGCAGCTTATGTGAGCCTTGGGGCTTATAGACTGAAATATAGTCAAAAATTGAGTGTAGGCTGAACCCAAGAGGCTGAATTAGACTGTTTTCATCCAGTATTAGATTAGTTTTGGGGATCTCACTAGAGCAGAAGGTGGCTCTGACCTTCTTGGATGGAGAGGATGCCGAGCCCTGAATGCTGTAGCTTCTCAGTGGGACATCTGCTTCTTTATGAAGCTGGAGCATTTTTTGCACTAGAAATATAAATACTATTTCTAGTGTTTTAAATTGAGGATCAGTGCATTGTGAAATGTGTTTGCTGTGTCTAGCTGCCTGATGCCTTTATTTAAAAAGTATAAAATAAAATAACTTTCTTTTCCTGCCTTGGGCTCAGCATTGTAGTGGCAACCACCAGAGGTGCTGATAGATGGCCTCCATAGGGGGTGGAATTGCTGGCTAGAGTTTGCATCAAGGAGTGACAACCAACAAAATGTTTAGAATGCCTGCCTTCTGTTGGGTCCCACTGAGCTGATATTCCCTCTGCTGCCCAGCACAGACAGGGTATGGTTTGGGTTTTGCCACTATAATATCTTTTTCAGTAGTTTCTACTCTGTGTCCTAACACTCTACCACACCCTTGCCTGCTACTAGGACATGAGATACGCCTCAAGTCCTGGCTGTGCAGATCATACATCTTGGTCTTCCTTATTGGTGTAGAAAATGTAAACATTACCTTTCTGAGACATTATTTCAGCATATGTCACATTCTGCACATCTGTAGTGTAAGATTATTATACTTAATTTATTTCAGTGACCTTTTATTCTGCCTGACTGTACTCTTATGGCTAAATTGCTGCTTTAAGTTTTGCATTCCTGTTTTTCTACGTGTGTCTGTATGTTTGCAGTTGTCCTGGATAAGGAGGTGGTCATGTTTGGGAATGTGCAGAGGGGCTCATTTCTCTGCCAGACAAGACATGCTTGTTCCAACTTGTCACCTCTCTCTGCCCTTTCAGCCTGAATGATGGAGTGTAAACATTTCAAAAATGGATATGTACCATAAATAGAAAACACATCTTTCCCAAGCAGTGGGGCCAAGCCACATTTACCACAGTTCACTTTGAAGTGATTTCCTGGTCAGCATATTTGCAGTGCCCTTCGTTCTGATGCTGTAATCTCATTTTTCATGCATAACTTGATGGTTTTTCTTACTCAGATTTTTTTTTGTGTTTAATCATTCCGCCAAGTGATTTTGATGTAGACAATAGTGATGAGGCATCGGAATCTGTGACCTTCCCAGACTGCTCCAGCCTAGTGTTTTCTTAGGCACGTGCTGCAGAATGCGCAGCAGAGCAGCTGCATCTCCAGAAAGTTCCTGGCCGTCTCCTGTGGTACAAACCTGTGCTTCAGAACAACCCTCCCTGTGACAGTGTTCTGGTTTGCATGTAAAGCTTTCATATTGTTTATTCTCATCAACTGTTTAAGGTTTCCTCAGCATATGCGGGCTGTATGCCATTGTGCACACAGGGAGAATTAATGCTGCGGCTGTGGCACAATGACAGCAGGCAAATAATGCTGTCAATGTCATTGCATGGACTTCTTGTGGCTTTTGGAGATCTTCTTAGATCTGCAGGTAACCCTCTTAGCTTTGCATTAAGATGGAGCTCCATTCTGGAGGAAAAGAGAGATGAGTTTATAATTGTACACAGTGATGGAACAAAATCCTGGTAAAATTGAGAACTTTGCCTTCATTTTACTGACTTCAGAGAGAGTGCGTGCCAGGGTGCAGTTTCAATTGGAAACATGGCTTCACCTTTTTTGGTAGAAGTTTTTTTTCCTTTTTTAGGAATGACATGAGCCTAGAGTTACCTTCAGGTGGAAGGTGGAGTGGTAGCCCAGGGCAGGCTGTCTCTGAGGTAGAAGGACACTTCTAGGGGCCAGGAAAGCCTCTGGAAAATGGACTGACATGGGTCAGACGTGACAGTAACTTGAGTGGCATTTGCTGTGTCCCTTCAGAGCATCATGTGCTGCTCTTCCAAAGTGCGCTCTGTTGATGGAAAATGGCAAGCGGCTGTTTTTAGACCCTGCAGAATAAGCCACACCTTTCTTCCCTTAGCATGAGAGATAGAACTTTTTTTGTATGTGTCTGGCTGTAGAATCAGCTGCCTTGTACTGGAGGGCAATGGATCAGAAATCTAATTGGTTCAGAAAGAAGGGATTGGAAATAAGTGGTGGTGAGGGAGTCAGAATAAATCATCCTGTTTGGGGCAGAGAAGCTCTCAGTTTGATCTCTCGATTTGCTGTTGGTTTATATATGTGTATATATATTTTAACATGTAAGGAATCTGTATTATCATTATGCCCCTTATGCCACCCAGTGAGCCCTGCCTTTCACATGTAGTGGCATTGAATTTATTTTAATTTATAGGAGGCTGTATAGCTTTCAAACTGTCATGGATAATCTCTTAGCTAATACACTTTGAATTTTGGTGCTGTGTTTCCTGGGGAATGCTCAGGGAAGACAGATGGCTTTTGTTCAGGTGAATGAGATGAGTCCTTTGATGGCAAATAGAATCCACCTTCATTGTCAGGGGCACTGTGCTGCAAGGGATGGTTTGCAGCATCCCAATGAGCTGGCCTTGGAGAGTTTATTGAAGAATTAGGAAGAAAAGCATCCTATAGCACAGGGACAGGGAGAAAACACTTTGCCAAAGCAGCTCTGTTCAGTACTTCACTCTGCATGTTTTGTCCTCGTTTGTTTTAGTCATTTACTCATAGCTTAGCTGTTCAGCAGATTAACACAGTGGATATTTGGAGAGTAGTCCGGGTTCCATCCAAAGATGGGGAAAATAAAGTGTTGGTGGAAGAGTTGCTGTTTTTTATTTGTGGAAACAATTTGTAAGGTCAGTATTGGGAACCAGTCATCAGGGGTCTGATGCTCTGGGCTTCCTGTGCCAAGGCCTCCCCACCATCACAAGGAGGAATTTCTCTCTTATGTCTAATCTAAACCTGCCTCTCTTCAGCTTAAAGCCTTTATTAGATCTTATTACGCTTTCTTCCTGGAGAGTGTCACACCAATATGGAAATCAGTTTTCTCATAGCAAACAACAGTGAAATGAAATGTATAGATTTATCCTTCTTCCTGATGGAGAACACACTAGACACCTGTAGCTTAAAGGTGAATTATGGTACAGAGGAGTCCTGCTGAGAATACATTTTGATGGTGCTTTGTTTTCTTTCATTTCTAGTTCAGGTATCAGAGCTCTCCTAAGAGCTCGTCTTGGCACGTTGGAGTCAGCCTGGGCTTTGCAGCCCGGGCACTCCAGTGCCTTTTGACACATTTTTCTAATACACAAAATTTGAACCCTTGTCTCATCAGTAAGATTTAAGTTTGCTTAAGCAAGTAATTCTTTTTAGTGGGTCACAGCCAGCCAGCCATGTACAGATTATTTTGTTTTGTTCTCACAAAAATGGGTTTCTCTGGATTTTCGCAGCTTTCTGCTTAAGCAAAACCAAGGAGCTGAGTCTTTAAGTGACTGTTCTGTATATTTATTATTGGTTTTTCAAAATCTACAATTTACATATTTCACACTAGAATTTCAAGACAAATAGGGGTTTGTTGATCTAAAATTATTAATTAATGAATTTTGAAGTAGAATCTGAGGCTTGAATAACAACAGAATATTGAAAAAAGGATAAAAGTATAATCTGATGCTGAAATATTCAGAAATTCTGAGAGAGGCTCCAGCCCTCAGTGAAATTCATCCATAAAAATTACTCAAGAACTTAATTCAGTGTATTACTTGCAGACCCTCTTTGAAAATACTTGTTTTCTTCTTTTAATCCACTGGGTAAGCCAAAAGTCCACTCTGCAGGGCTCCTTATCTGTGACTGCATGAGCCATTATTTACTGTTATTTCAGAGTGAAACATTAAAAGGATTTGTATGGAGCTAAATGTTCAATTCCCAATTCAGTTATGTGCTTAACCACATTCTGTTTTCTAGATAAAGGAAATTGTCTTTCCTTTTTGTTCTGCTCATTGACTTCATTGGAAGTACTTGGGTCCTTAAGTGATAGGGTCCAACTGCATCATCTCTTCTCAAATAAATTTTGTCATATTTTCATCCATATACATCTTGGTTTAGTAAGTAGAGGTAATAACGTGTTTTTAAAAGGGAATTAATTACTTCTGTGATTTATGCTGGACATCAGAAATAAACAGAAGAACTTCTTGCATTGCCACTTGTCACCTGTAGCTGAATATATACATGGACCTGGGGGCACTGATTCTGCTTCCCAGGGTTTTTTTCCGCAGTGCTTCCCAATGGTTTTCTCCTTGAAAGGCCATGCTCATAGGTTGCTGTTCCAAATCTGTTCCCAGCAAAAATGCGAACATTTGACAGAGATTTTACTAGATTTATAGGTTGCACCTGCTCTATCACATATTCCCAAGGGGTTTCTAACAGTATCCTGGGAAATTCAGGAACAATGCAGAGATGTTGTATTCTCCTGCTTCCCTGCTTGGTTTTGGGGTTGATCTTTAATTTTTTATGTAGAGGGGAATATGTTGCAGAGTGTTTGGGTCATGAAAAAGCAGGAAGGAAACCTGGAATATGGACTATTCCAAGGTATTTTCCACTCATTTTCAGTACTAGCTATCTGAAGAAAACCATGATTATCTGTCTTTATTCATTTAGTGCTTTGAGAGTTGAGGCAAAAACATAAAAGGGATAATTTCAGAAAATGGTTATTTTTGAAATTTAAACTTAGCTATTTCTTGAATATTCGCTTCAGAGTCCAGAGGATATAAAGGTAAAATTTGCGAAGGTTGGTAAAGAAAAAGGAATACTTCCCTGTGTATGGCTGAGCTCATTCAAACTGGTGTATTAATTTTGAAGTGCAATGGTATTTAGAAGTATAGTACTCCTAAGTCCTCAACTCAGTTTTGCATTAAGACTAACAACTTAAAAGTAACAGTAACTTCCTGGGTTGAGTTACCTTTAAAATGCAGAGAAAGTATGCTTAATTAAGAGGTATAATGTAATTATTTTTCACATTAAATTGTTTTTCTTTATGCTTTTAGGGTATAAAGCCAGCAAGCTTTGAGAAAGTTACTGATCCTGAAATTAAAGAGATAATTGGGGAGTGCATCTGCAAAAACAAAGAAGAAAGGTTTGTTTCAAGGGATCGAGTTTTGTATTAAATAATGTGTATGCAGGTCTTTCAGAACTGTCGGTGGATTTCTGCTCTGGTCTGTGGGTCTCCCCTGTGCAGAAGAAAATGCAGCATGGAAGTGGAAATCTAAATTATTTCCTGCTTTCCTGATATTCAGTGTCAGTATAAGCAATGCTGTTGTGTCTCTCAGCTGCTCAGCATCACTGTGGAGTTGAGCTAGGGTACTCTTGCAATTTCTGGTTCAGTAGTCCAAAAAATGTCACTGGGAAGGTTCTGCAAGGGACAGGGAGGGTGATAAAAGTTGGTGTGGTGGATTCATAACAAGCTGTGGTAGCAGATTTCATTGCCCTCTGGACATGGAGATGTGTTATGCCTAGTTTCCAGCTCTGGTTTTAAAAATTAATGTTTTACTGGTCTCTGCCAATTTGTCTCCTGCTGAGTATTTCCTGGCTTTCACAAATACAGTTTTTAGGGACTGCAGCTGACTGCCTAGAGCGAATCTCTTCTCTGGTACTCTTTAAGCTCAGATACTCAAGAAAAGTTGAACAAAGCTATGATCTGCATTTCTCTAAGTGCTTGTGGTATATGAATATTGGAAATGTCACTTCTTCAATTTCACTTCATTTTCGAAATCCCACATCTTTCCAAAAAGAACACAAATTCATTATTGATGAACACCAAACAGTGTAAATGTTTCCACCTTTAGCAGCAATTTCTTTTCACAAACCTTTCTGAAATTGTTGACTTGCAGTGTTTGATTCTTCTTTATATCCTTTGCAGATATGAAATTAAAGATTTATTAAGCCATGCCTTTTTTGCTGAAGATACTGGGGTAAGAGTGGAACTTGCAGAAGAAGACCATGGTAGGAAATCCTCTATTGCCTTAAGACTCTGGGTAGAAGATCCTAAGAAACTGAAAGGAAAACCCAAAGATAATGGAGCCATTGAGTTTACTTTTGATCTGGAGAAGGAAACTCCTGATGACGTTGCACAAGAAATGGTAAAATACACTTCTGATAAAAATGTGTATATATAGAAAATAGTGCATAAATGTCAGGGGACAACAGGAACGAGCTGGGTAAAGTAACTTCACTTGAACCACTCCAGGTGTCCAGTTCAGGTGCTTTGCATTGATTTTGGAATGACTACCACAAGAAAGGGGTGAATGGGGAACAACTAACTGAAACATATTGTTTGAAAACAGATGCCTGAAATCAGTTTACATAGCTTAGGGAGCATGGAGGTCTGGTCTACTTTTATATTTTGCACGCTCTTCTGCCAGTTTCTATAGGCTGTTGAATGACTTTGAATTTATTTAGAATCTGTTTAGTTCCAGACAGCAGCTAGAAATATATTAGAAGAGTTCAGAAGTTCAGTCACAAAATATCTTGCATTGAGTTCTCCAAAACACTTTCCTGCATCTCTTCTGTTGGTGTTCCTTAGAAGGAATGTAGGTGAGAAAGGTCTGTGGTCAGCTGCTCCACCCCCAAACTTTGATAGGAAACTGGATTAATGGAGTTAGGAGTAAGCTTTGGATTTTTTAACCGATAAGTTTCACTTGCTGAATTTCTGTATTTTTATAATGGTGGGGTTTTGTTAGAGAATCTGTGTTCCATTTTCACCACATTGTCCTTGAACTCCTATTTTGGTGGTGTCTGCTGCCGTTGTTTTGGTGTTCTAATGTCACAGAGGCTCGGGGTAAATAAGCACTGAACCAAGGGTCTCAACATTCTGTGCTTGCAGAAACATTCCTATTAGACTCAAAATCGCTAGGGATCCCATGTAATGATGTCTTCACCACTCGTGTTCTGCTCAGGAGGCACTCATTTTGGTAATGCTGCCTTGCTCTGCTGGAACTCATCACCATCTACTCCAAGTTTAGTGGGAGGAATTCAGTCTCCTTTGTCTTCTTGTTGTTAGTTTGCAGTAGGTCCAGTGGTTTTCCAGCAATTTATTATTACAGAACTCATTTAGTTTAAAAATTTTTCTGGTACCATTACTTACTGTTATATTTTACATTTAAATATTGATGTAAATATTTGGAGTTTCACAGTTCTTTAAGTTGCTTGGTCCATAGTTGTGATGTTTTATTTTGAAGAGGAAATAATTCTCGTGAAAAGTATATTTAAAAGGATCATGCCCAAACTACAGTGACACTCTACCCATTCCCAAATAATTAAAAAATCTATATTGTACATTAATGCGTACCTAAGAGACTGTCCATTAAATGCTTTCAAACCTGAGGCTGTTGCAGGGGCAGAAAAAGGGGACATTTATTCCTAAATGTCTTTTTCTAGTCCTTATGAATGTGGAACACCAAAGCCATGTGCTTTCATCTGTCTGTTGCTTTGTGTGCTGTGGAAGAGAAGAATGCAGGAGACCTTCTGAGTACAGGGAATTATTTATCATTACTGATGGGTTTTTGGTAGTTAGGCAGTCCCACCTGTCCAAAGGATATGGGCAAAGGGAACTGGAAACATTCTAGTGGGTTTGGAAAGTGAAGTTAGCTCTTGAAGCTGTGTTTTAAGATGCTTTGCACCCATTAATTTTAGCAGTGAAAATCTAAGCTGTGGAAGTGTCTTATGTTTGGGCAAGAGCAAAACAGGAAAGCCTCTAGATATCCCCCATGGATGGAAGTGCTTTCAAATCAGTCGAATGTGCATGTTAAGAATGTAGGGAGAGCAGACAGAGCTCTGGTACGTTGTTATTAAATGAAAATTCATACCCTGCACTGCAGGAGATTATGCAAACAAGTAACACAAAGATGAATTTCCATTTTATCTGTTGAGCAGTTGAGTTCTGAGAAGCCTCCTCCCCTTTTCCATCAAATAGGAGCAGTCTGCTTTTTCTTTGTAAAAGTCAATCAATACTGACTGATTTCACTATTTAAGACAAGTTAATTTGAAATCTAATTCTGCTAACATCTTGTCCTTCATGATTTTCTGTGCTGTTAAGCAGAGCAATTTGGATAACTGTGTGCTGGAAGGGTTAAGACAAGTTCAGATTTAGGAGCAGTTTGATTCACTCCAGGTGCATTGTTTGTTTTTCCTGTTTTGTCTGTTCTTTTAGTGTTAAAAAGAAAAAAAAAAAGAGGGAAACCCATCTGCCATTAAACTTGCTCTCCTCAATGGATGTTCAGTGGTGGATAATTAGAGCCAGTATATATTCAGGTCTTAGACATTACATCTTGGGTTTTTTAATGCATTAGGAATAGAAATTTTACTGAGAAAGAACCCCACTCCATCAAGCTCTTGAGTTCTGTTCTTGTGAGAAATAAATTTATATAAATTAGTGTCGTTTCAAATGGATGTTTTCTTTGTTGGGAAGAGGTTCCAGTATCGTGTGTATGCTCGTGTGCGTTCCAGCCACGTGCTTGGGACCTTGCTAAGTGTGTGCTCCTCTGCAGATTGACTCAGGCTTTTTCCACGAGAACGATCTCAAGATCGTGGCCAAGTCCATCCGTGACCGAGTGGCGCTGATCCTCTGGAGGAGGGAGCGCATCTGGCCCAGGATGCAGCTGGAGGAGCGCCGCGACTCGGAGTGCCTGGACAAGCTGAAGGCACCGCAGGCCCAGCAGGTCCAGGTCACCTACCTGTCCCACACGGGCCACCACATCCTGTCGGAGCCTGAGGAGCCGGAGGCGGACCAGCACCCCTTCCAGCAGAACCTGCCCACCAGCGTCACCTCTGTCGCCTGTAAGTCCCGCGTTGGCTTCGTGGACACACAGGGATGAATGTCTGAGGGGGAAACCCACAGTGACCTGAGCTCAGGGGAACCGATGTGGGTGGTTTTGCACAGTAGCTCAAAACCCGCAAACATCTGGGACAGATGCGTGACAATTTGGAAAGCAATGACGTTTCAAGAAAACACTATTATATAGATATCTCTATAACTCTCTATGTATTTTGCTACTAAACAATTATCACAGAGTTTCTGTTTCACTGTTCTGGGCTTGTATGAAAGCACATTTAAGTAAAAGATGCATTACCTTTAGCGAGACAGCTGCTACTTCAATTCAGGTTTTTATAAAGGGCTACACTGAGGTCTGCTTTGAATACTGAAATATCCATGTGTACCTGTGCAGGAAAAATCCCTTTACATGCTATGAGAAATAGCTATATTTGCATAACACTCACAATATTGCCACATTCACAAAGCTTTTTATCTGAAGCTAAAATGAGCTCATTTCATTTTTTTTTATCATATACTTATTTCATGCTAATTCCTTTGAGGAACACTGCAATTATGGCTCTTTGTTTCTAGTGCTGCAGTGAAGTGACTTGTGCTTCCCATGGCTGTGCTGGCCATGAGTTGGCAAAATGTTATACTAAATATAACCTCCACAATTTATTTTTTACTCCTCCTCAACTTTTAACCAGAACTTGGTATTATTTGGGAATTTGCTGTCAGATTATTTGAACATTTTGTTAGCATAGGACCTCTGTAAATTAGGGTTGGCACCCATTCATATAATTTGAGATTAAATGTAAAAGTGGAAATTAATAACTTAATGTGCGCAGTGTACATTCTATAAAAATCTGAGACTGACTCACAGCTTTTACTTTAACACTCTACCATTAGATTCTCCTTTTTTTTTTTTCCTTTGAGGTCCTGAATAATTGTAATAAAACAGAATGTTAATGCAGCAGAAATCCCATCATGAAAGTAGGGCTATATTGGCTCTTCAGAAATGAATTGAATAAATAGAGAGGGGAGTTTAATTCTGGAAAAGAAAAACAGTTGGGGGAATAGCTTGGGAGTACTGAAGAGAAATGTCATCTCTGGTGCTATTAAAAATAATTCATTATTTAAAAGCCAAATAAGTAAAACTTTATTTAAAATATGGAAAAAAGAGACAGTGGAAGGTGTTGGGAAAAGCAGTAACTTAAGATGGTTTTTGAAACTGTGTTGCAGTTTTCTTTCAGTTTTGAATTTTAAATCCCTATTAGAAGCTATTTGTCCTTGGGATACATCTACTGCAGTCTGGTTGTCTCACTTCCTTTCTCTAGTGAAGAAAACAGTAACTTAGGCTCAAACGGAGCTGGGCACTTGTATTTTACACATTTTAAAAGTTGTGAAAAGACTTTTTAAAGTCAGTAATACCAATATTTCCAGTTCCCAAAGGGCTCAGTGCTTGCCCAGTGCCCATAGCTGTGTAGTTCCATAGGTTAACTGGGCTCCACGAGAAACTCACACAGAGCTGAGTGTGCCAAACCCACTGGAACCTGCTCAGGGGTTTGTCTGACCTTAATTGCACTACACTCAAGCAGAGCATGACTTGCTGAACTAAAATCATACAGCATAAAGAATGTTGTAATTTTCAGGGCTGCTGATAAAAGCAGTGTTAAAGTCAGTGCATCCCTGGAAGATGGAACTCTGAAAGACCCCATGGTCTGCTCTGAACGTGACAATCGGGGTTTCCTCTCCTTTCATCTCCAAAATCTATAAGCATCTGCAATTCTGAATGTCAGCCTTATGCCCTTTAAAGGATATAGTAAAGTGCCTGAAATATCAGTGTGTGCAGAAATCCATGGGGATGGGTTGTGGCTTAAGCGAAGCAGTGTGTGCCTTTTGTAGAGCATAACACTGGTGTTGTATAATTTATTTATATAAAGAAAGGGCTAGAGTAGTAAAAATGCTAATGTCATAAACCATGGTGACCTTGCTCTAAGATCATCACTTGAACATGGGGAGCTGTTGAACTTTTTATTAAAAGGACTGTTCTTCCAGCTGACAGCACGTTTGACAGTGGCCAGGGTTCCACAGTTTATTCGGACTCACAGAGCAGCCAGCAAAGCGTCATCTACTCGTCCCTGCCAGACACTGTCCCTCCTGCCATCCAGAGGGTGTACAGCCCCCCCCTGAGCGAGGGCCAGCCTGTGCCACACAGCCTCCCCCAGCTCGGCCACTACCAGCAGCCCTCGGCGGTAAGTCCAAAGCTTTTTCAAATAGTTCTGTATCTTGGGTGATATTTCATATTATCATTTATGCTCTTGTTCCCAGAGGGTATGGATTCCAGGGGTGTCTGTATGTATTCCTCACTCACTTCTGCACATAGTGACCTGCTCAGTCCCTTGTCAGTCTGTTGGCACTGAACTGCATTAGTGGCTTTGCAGCAAAGCACAGGAAGGACATGGACCTGTTGGAGTGTGTCCAGAGGAGGCCATGGAGATGCTCTGAGGGCTGGAGCCCCTCTGCTCTGGAGCCAGGCTGGTAGAGCTGGGGGTGCTCACCTGGAGAGGAAAAGGCTTCAAAGAGAGCTCAAAGCCCCTTGCAGGGCTTAAAGGGGCTCCAGGAGAGCTGCAGAGGGACTGGGGACAAGGGATGGAGGGACAGGACACAGGGAGTGGCTTCCCACTGCCAGAGGGCAGGGATGGATGGGATATTGGGAGGGAATTGTTGCCTGTGAGGGTTGTGAGACCCTGGAAGAGGTTTCCCAGAGCAGCTGTGGTTGCTCCATCCGTGGAAGTGTCTGTCCCTCATGCTGCTGTCTCTCCGCAGCCCGTCCTGCCTGCGGTGCCAGCCACGCCCGCTGTGGTGCCCCAGCACTACCAGGAGCCGGCGATGCCGTTCCCTGTGGTCCCCAGCACCGTGGCCTCGCTCCCGCTGGGGCAGCCGCCGCCCGTGCTGGCCGGCCAGCAGGTGAGAGCTGGGTTCTGTCATGGAGCTGTGTCCATCTCAGCCCTTCCCTGTGGCTGCTCTGCCTCACACAGGGTGCCCAGAGCAGCTGTGGCTGCCCCTGCATCCCTGGAACTGTCCAAGGCCAGGTTGGACAGGGCTTGGAGCACCCAGGGACAGTGGAAGGTGTCCCAAGTTTCTCTGCAAAACTTCCCAGGGCACCTATGTTCCTCAGAGACAGTAGTGTCCAGTGAATGTCCATGGTAAGGAGGGTAGGGCAGGACAGCAGAAGAATGGAAATTAGGGTGAGAAATTCAGCTACCTACAGAATGAATTGTTTTGATCTTGTCTCAATATGCGCTGGTGGATCAGACATGTGGAATCAATGTTGTGTCTCCTAACTTCTATTTATTTTTCCAATTTGGGTGTCCGTGCATTTACACTGCTAAAGTTATAATGGGGCAAAGTTACCTAATTACCTGGATATTTTCCCTTCCCTGTGCCTTACCCAATTCACAAGCATTTTTTAAGACACAAGCTAGGTTTGAGAGGGAGGTTTTAGGAAGCAGCTCCATTCCCTGAGCATAGTTTTCCTGCTCTAATGCGATGTCTCCTGGAGTGGGAGGTGACTGAGCCACAAGTGCCAGTGCCCTCTGTCCCCTTGGTGAACCGTGGGTAGCTGTCTGAGCTGCAGATTAACCCAGCTGGGGTGCGAGAGCAGAGCTGGCTCTGGGAGCTGGCAGCTTTATGAGCTTCAGTCCAGCGCCGTGGGCATGCGGCTCTTCCACCCCGGAGCTGGGGCTTGGTCCTGCAGGAGTTGCTCCATGGAGTGGGGGGTTCCCCCCCCAGCCCAGGTGGGTCTGCCTCATCCTTCAGTGTTCCAGTGCCTCCACCTTGGCCGGTTTGCTCTGTCCCATCACCAGAGCCAGGCCAGCCCCTGCGCTGCCATTCCCATGCGTTTGGGATTGTAGCTGGGGAGATGCCATGTCTTTCCCAAAATGTGAGATGGCAGAGGTTCTGTGTGCTGCAGGGCCTGCTGAGGCCACTAGCTCTGTGGTCCCAAGTAAGTCACCCTGAGGCAGGCAGCCTATGCCTCAGGGTCATCTTTTTGAACCAGAAGGGTTTTTTAAGTATTTCCAGAACTAATTAGAGGAGCTGAAGAAGAAGATACCAATAGCACATAAAATGTGGGGGTTTGTTACTTTTTCGCAGCTTTTTCTCTGTTCTGATCTCTGAAGCCTGGCAGGCCAGGGGAGCACTACTTTCTCTGGCAAAGTAAAACTGCTTTTTTGGCTACCACATTGTCATTACAGTACATCAGAAATATCTGGAACTTAGCTTTTACTGCAATTATTGCGGTTGATTGTGTCTCAGGTAATAAGTGTTGTATTTGCCATGCCTGCTCCATTATGTAGCAACTTCTGCTTGCCAGGATGAGCTGGGTATCAACTGTATCTTGGAAGTTAGTGGGTGGGGATTTCACAGGACCAACCCAAACAGTCTCTGGGATGTAAAGAGTGAGTCATTACAAACAGCCTCTCCAAGACAGTTAGCACTTGTCATTTTATAACTTGCATTTAAATAGGTTTTAAGTATGGGCTCCTGTGCAGTGTTTGAATTAAGAGTGCTCGTCTCTCCTGGGAGCTGTCCTGCTGGAGCACATTCTGAGGGGCTGGAGCATGACCAGGGCAGGGAATGGAGCTGGAGAAGGGGCTCAGCCTGGAGAAGAAGGGGCTTAGGGAGAACCTTCTGGCTATGCACAGCTCCCTGACAGGAGGGGGCAGCCAGGGAAGGGTCTGGCTCTGCTCCCAGGGAGCAGGGACAGGACGAGAGAAAATTACCTCAAGCTATGCCGGGGAAGGTTTAGGTCGGATATCAGTGAAATTTTCTTTACTGAAATAGTGATTAAGCATTGGAATAGGCTACCAAGGGGAGTGGGGGAGTCACCATCCCTTGAAGTGTTCAAAAAACATCTTGATGTGGCACATGGGGACATGTTTTAATGGTGGACCTTTCAGTGCTGGGTTAGTGGTTGGACTCCGTGATCTTAGAGCTGTTTTCCAGCCCTAATGAGCCTGGGATTCTGTACTCCAAGCACCAGGTCTGTTCTGACAGTAAGATGGGGAGAAATGGGGAGCATGGCCGGCCGTCTGGTTCTTTTGCAGTACACAAGCAGTAACTTTCCTTCCTGTCCCCCCAGCAGCAGCCCATCTCGCAGGCAGCCTCCCTGCAGCAGGTGCTCGGCAGCCAGCCCGTGTGCCCGCTGCCGCCAGCCCCCCACCTGCTGCCGCCGTTCCCGGCACAGGGCTCGCAGGTGCCCGCCAGCAGCACCCCGCTGAAGCCCCTGCAGATCCCCACCGTGCCGCAGCTCCCGCCCGTGGCCCCTTCCCAGGTAAGGAAGGGCTGTGAGCACAGCCGTTTGAGGAGAAATTTCCGGCTAATAATTAACATGATTTGCAGGTTTTATGTGGCTATTTTGACTGCATGCCACTTTAATTAGGCGATAAAAATATTACTGCTCTTTCTTAATTCCTTTCTATTTCTTTGTTATTTGTTTGGTGAATCAGAAATCTCCTTTGTGCCCAACTCTGTCGCGTCCAGTTAATGGCAACTCCAAAATGGCAGTAATTTTTTGGGGTTGTTTTGGTTTGGTCTTTTGCACTGTTCCCTCTGGCACAATCTCTTCCCTATCCCAGGCTTGAGGGCATGAGCAGTTGCCTGTTTTTACTGCTATTTTCTGACCTTCTGACTTCACCACTTCTCCCAACACTTGCCAGCCATGTCAGTGTTGTTCTGCTCTGGGTCTGTTCTCTGGAGCAGGGACAAGCCCTTCCCTTGGCCTAGGAAGGTGGATGGTGCCGTGTTTGGTAGTGACAGGCACCATAATGCGAAGCAGCTTGTGCCAAAGGGCAGGAGCAAGCTGCTGCCATGATGCCGATGTCTGCTCCATCACTGGGAAGTTTTGATTGTAAAAATCCTTTTTCTGGGCTCTTCCATGCTGCCTGAGTTGCAGCTTGTTTGAAAACAAGGGTTTAAATTGCCCCACTTAATTTTGCATGAAAGAGTTTTGTGTTAGGTCTGGCCCAATTCCTTTTAATTTCTGTTAAAATGAAAGCAGTTTTTAATTAGGATGTTGCTTGAAGGCTTCAGGCTGGTGTTAGAAGTAGTTCTGAGCTTCTAAGGTATAAAAGTGGCCCCCTCAAATGTATTTTTTTTTGCTTTTACTGGTGATTTAAGCGTAAATCAGTTTTTATTGCTTGTGAAGCTCAGGGAATTAATGGAAGTGATTAACAAACAGACATAATTATCCTCCCGGCACAGGTGGTTTTTAGGGACTTGTGTGGCAAATGAAACTGCTTTATACCATCAGTGAAAGCATTGGCAATTCATGCAATATTATATTTTTTTCAGATTCCTCAGTTTCCTGTCATTCCTGCAATTACTCCTCTGGCAGGGCTCGACAGCCTTCCTCCAAACCTGTCTGACATACCTGCTGCGAACGTGCCCCCCATTCCTGCTCCCTCCCAGTACTTTGCTCCGGCTGTGATCCTGCCCAGCCTGCCCATGAACCCCACGCTGCCCATGGCACCCAACTCCCCCGCCCTGCCCATGCAGGCCGTCAACCTGCCTCACACCACCGTGGCTTCTCTGGTCCTGCCCTGCCAGCCCATCGTGCCAAACATGCCGGCGGCCACCATCCCGCTGCTGGCGGTGGCACCGCCGGGGGTGCCGCCGCTGCCGCCGCAGCCCGTGTTCCAGCCCGCCTTCCAGCCGCTGCTGCCCGGCGACGCGCCCTCGCCCCACCACACACAGAGCTCTCAGCCCGTGTCCCAGGCACAGCCACCTCCTCCAGCCCTGCAGCCGAGCGTGATCCACCCTCCTGAGCCAGCTCACCAGGTAAATCCGCCGGGCGCGGGGCCGTGCGCTGCAGGTGCTCCAGGGCACTGCCTTTCCTGGGGCTCTCTTCCTCGCCAACATTAATCCTTGTTCTTGAGATGTTTTGTTGACTTCTTGCTCTCAGTTCTGGAGGTGGTGGCTGAAGCTGTTAGCTGTGGGGTGGCAGGTGATCTCCTCAGCCAGGGACAGAGGTTGTCAAGGATATAGGGCACAATACCACTGGCTTTGAGCAGTAAATGAGCCGAGCGCTTTCTGAATTTCCTCTTCCTTCTTGGTCTCAGATCTTGGGAAGTGTGAGCTGTGGTTTTCCCATGTCAGGAGGGCCTTGCCAGTGCCTGTGGCTGATCCATGTAGGATGCAGGGGCTGCTGGGTACACACAGCAAATACAGGGGAGCTGGCGAGAGCAGTGGAGTTATTTTGGTGTAGAACATATTTAAAACAGCAAAGGGAAGTGGCCCTCTGGTAAGGACTCTGGAAAGCTCTGTGGAAGAGCGCTGTCAGACCTGCAGGGCAGGGATGGATTCTATCTGCAGACTCTTTCCCCCTTGAAAAAAACGAAGCGTAAATGAGCTCGAACAGTATTTACTCAGAAGCTGCCTCAGGAGTGACAGAGTCTGCAAATACTTCTCTCGCCACATCTGTGATATGTCAACGTGAAACACAGTCTGACCAGAGCAGGAGAGGGCATTCAACCTGTTAATAAAGCATTTGGAAAATCTGTATTCTGCCATATCCCTTCACCATAACACACTAATTAAAATCTGTGACATTCCATCCCAACCTGTCATGGCATCTTCAGAGCAGTACGTAGTTTTTAAATTTCTCTCTTCAGCCATATCTTTTGTACAGGATTGCTGTTGTTGAGAATGTCAGCAGCATGGAGTTTGGGAGTGTTACTCAGTGTTCCCTGTGGCTTTAGAGGGAATGGAATCAAGCACATTGGACACAGTGAGCATGGCAAATACCAGAACTGGAGAGCTGATGTTCCCAAACCATCCTGACACAGTCATTAGCTATCAAATATGTGTAGAAGAATTGCATATGGAAGAATTTAGGATAAAAAATAGCTATTACAATGTGCAGAGAAATATTTTAAAAAGCATTGTTTTGATTTGAAGATTTCTGATGGAGAGGTATTTCTGTGTATAATGCTGTGCTCTTTTCACAATTGATGTTTAGCACCTCTGAATTTTGTTTTGCCTGGATAAATCTGTATGGGCATTCACTTAAGAGCTGCACTTGATGATCCTTGTGGGTGCCTTGCAAGTCAGAATATTCTGTGATTCTGTGATTTGACATTGAAATATTTTGTGAATTATTCTTGATGTATAAGATTTAAAATTGAACCAGCCTTCTGTGGCATTACACCACACTTGTCAATCTAACAACCCTCCCTTGGACAGCCATGTAACTCTGAGGAGTTGTGAAGCACATCCTGTCTTTACTTTTATCTACATTAAAACCTGGAATAATAGTTTTAGCTCATACCCAGAACCTGCTGAGAACATGCAGCAATGAAATCATATGGCCTAGTTCTCATCTGAGTCTTATTTTTTTTAGTGTATTTTCCAATACCCTGAAGTCTCTTTGTGATGATACTTCAAAAAAAGTAAAAATTGGGCACACTCTTACCTAGTACTAAAAGTCTTTCTTTCTTCCATATGCTTCTTTCTTTACTTCTTCCTCTTTCCACAAGCTCAGTCCCTCTGGAAAAATACATGATGTACCTAAAACGAGAATGTTCTGATTTTAAATGTACAACACAAAAGGACTGTTATGCAGAATAACAGCGCAGTCTCAAAGGTAGTTGGCATCCTGTTGCCTGGGTCTGGTTCCCACCAAGTGCTTACGCACTCGAGTGATTTTAATGCACTGGAGAAATCCACTGAGAAAAGTGAAACTCCCTCGGTCCACTTGGACGTGTTGGTAGAACTGGGGCCTTGGGTCTTGGCACACCAAGGGTTAAGTTGGGACAGCGGTGTGTAAACTGCACTGAACTGAAGGAGGGCACTGGTGTATATTCAGTGAAAGAGTAAATGTGTCATTTGTACCAGATCCTGGTTCTACATATCTGGCAGATTTCTTAAAATATGCTAAATTAGGTTATGGGTAGAATGCGTTTTTCTCTGCATGGACAGTGTGGGGTTGTTGAAAGCAGAACAAATTATTCAGGAAAATGGATTCATCACCTAAGATCTTAAAAGCAAGTCCAGAGGAGGCCCTGGAGCTGCTCCCAGGGCTGGAGCCCCTCTGCTCTGGAGCCAGGCTGGGAGAGCTGGGGGTAGACACCTGGAGAGGAGAAGGCTCCAGGGAGAGCTCAGAGCCCCTGGCAGGGCCTGAAGGGGCTCCAGGAGAGCTGCAGAGGGACTGGGGACATGGCGTGGAGGGACAGGACACAGGGAATGGCTTCCCACTGTCAGAGGGCAGGGACAGATGCAATATAGGGAAGAAATTCTTGGTTGTGAGCGTGGGCAGGCCCTGGCACAGGTTGCCCAGAGCAGCTGCAGCTGCCCTGGATCCCTGAAAGTGTTTAAAGCCAGGTTGGATGGGGCTTGGAGCAGCCTGGGACAGTGGAAGGTGTCCCTGCCCATGGCAGGGGGTGGAATGAGATGAGCTTTGAGGTTGCATCTACCACAAACCATTCTGGAATTCTGTGATTTTTTTTCCTTTCTTAGCAAAATCTGGCTTTGTCCCTACTAATAAACGAGTACCTGAGCAACGCACATTGTCATAATTGTACAGAAAGACTCCTCAGCTTTTATTTGGTTATTTCATAGGAAGTTTATCTCTGTAGTTGTTACGGAGAGCACCCAAACCCAGTCGCACTGCGAAGTTTGAGTCCTTTCTTCATGAACACCAGTGACTTTGCTCCCTTGTCAGATACGTGTTGAGCCCTTGGCGCAGAGATGTGTGCTAACAGCTCTCGTTGTGTTGCAGCCCATGCCTGGACACACTCAGTTTGCTCTGGAAGCTGGAGCCCAGGTGCCCGTGCTGCCAGTGCAACCCTCCATGGTCATGTCGCCGCCGTTGCAGCTGCAGCCGGAGCTGGTGCCGCCCTGCGTCGCTCCCGAAGGCGTTCCCCAGGTCCATGGCAGCCTTGCCACGGCTGCCCCGCCCGCCCCCATAGAGCCTGGCCTGCCTCTCCCGCCCTCTGCTCTGCTGCAGCTCCAGCCTGATCTTTCCCAGCCACTGGGCCAGCAGCTCCCAGCTCCCTGCTCGGCTGTCGCAGCAGGCACAGAGACTTCTCAAGAGGTAGAGCCCTTCCTCTGAAGTAACTCACCAGCCTCAGCCTTAATCTTCTTAGTTACTCCTGTGTGAAACAGTGGGCTTGTTGCACAAGGGAGGTTATCCCCTCAGTGTGTTGAGCTGCTGCTCCTTGATGCCAGCAGCTCTGGGTCAGCAAATAATTGGCTATTCCAAATGAAACCTCATGTTGTAGCTCAAGAAATGTCTCACTGAATTCATGAGGCAGCAGGACTAAGCACCTCCTTCTCCATAGCTGAGCACAAGCATGGAGCTAGAAATCAAGGAGTTCCCACTGTGGGTGAAGTAGAAGTTGTTCTGTAGAGTGTCACCCATGTTGTGTCCAGTCTTGTTTTAAATGTCTCAAGCACTTGTTCAACCAACCATCATTTGCCTAAAGAAACTGCTCCACAATCTGAGTCTTTGTATTGTGGAAGCCGTTCATACTCTTCAGTTTGAGCCCTATTCTCATTTCATTTAGCATTGTATCCTCCTGTATTGCCTTATGTCTGCTGTAGCCCTGGGATTTTTGTTTCTTAAGATACTCATAGGCATTCCCAGTTCTCTGTGGACATAGAAGCAGGATGCTTTTTGTTTTCCTTATAGAACTGTCAGCTCCTCATCTGCTATTTTGACTTTTCTTTCCACTCCCATAATTGTTTAATCTTCAGTCTTGACAGAACATCACAGAACATTTCCTTCTCTTCAGCTGCCTGTTAACATAACAAAACAAAAGCTTTGGCATTTCTACCTGATTTCAGGAAATAAGTCTGATTTTTCTCCACTCCTGGATGGAAATGTCCCTCTGGGATTCTGCATTCAGAGTGGTTCCTCTTGAGTCTCTGTTCTGAGTTATCTTTCCTCCCAAAGTATGTATTTCACCTTTTCAAAATTAATCTCTTGGTTTTGCCGATGTTTCCATGGCTTGTCACATGCCTTGACTTCAGTGCAGCCTGAAATTCCATTGGAGATACAACTCAATGCTGCCTCCAGAAGATGCTCCAGAAGAGCTGTTCTAACAATAAAAATGGATTCTTGTTCCCCATTTTTCCTGTCCATCAATGGCAGTTTAATTCTTACTGCATCAGCATTCCTGCTGTGATGTAGGATGTCTCCTGGTGAATGTCTGTATCTTGTTGTTTAAGTGTAGCAGGAGTGGTAGAGCCTGTCTCCAGTGCTTCACCTGCAGACTCCCCAGAATAGCTAGGCTGGGTCAGGCATATCCATCACTCAAGTTATTCCTTCTCCTGCTGTCTTTTTTCTGAATGCACAGCTCATGGCAGGGTAGGTGCTGGTGCCTTCGTGCTGGGTCCATTCCATTAAAGATTCTGGAAATATGAACAAATCTCATTGTTGTGCACTGTGATACGGGGGATACAAGTTCTCCTGAGAAACTCATGGCCACTGAGGCACGTGTCTGTCCGTCACATCCCACATCCCTCAGAACATTAAACCACTGGTTTGCTAATTTCATTTTCACGTCCATCTCTCATTCACTTCAAGAAATGAAGCAAGTACCAATCCAGCTCCTCCTCTCCATGCTGGTTTTCTGACATACATTGCTAAAGTTTCCTTGAGTGTAAGAGAAGTTTCATACCTGTCTGTATAATCAAAACACTACATTTTGTTGCTACTCTTCTGTTGTGTTCAGGCGCGTGGCAGCGCTTACATCCAAACCAACCTGAACCAGTCAGGCAAAAGAGGTTTTGGAAGGCACTTGGTGAAGTGCTTTACCAGAATGTCGATACATTATGTCTGTGTTGTCACTGTTCATTGATGTTACAGTTTTACTGAAACTGCTTTTAAGCTTGGCATGGCCTATGTGTGGTGTTTACAGCCAAGGAGGGGGGCTGGCTGGTTAGCTGCAGAGAACCGGTGTGTTGTTGACCAGGTCCCCTCTGAGCTTTTAACCCCAGCTCATCACTGCTTGAGCTCAGTGTAGCCATGGCAGTCGAGGGGCTTGTTTCTAGCTGTGCATCTATAGGATTTTATAGATATGTTTTTATAAAGATATATAAAATTTTATAAATATATATATTTAATTATATATATTTATGGGTATATCTGGTGCGAGTGTATATACACAGCTATATACATGTATGGGGGTGTGTGTGTCTTTGTGCATACGTGGAAAGTTTGTTACAGCAGGGCCTGCAGCATTGTCACAAATTCTGTGAGAATGGGTCTGCCCGATGTGGAAATCATGCTGTGATGTCTGTCCCAGAGCTGCAGCCAGTGAAGAGGGAAGCTTTTAGGGGAAATTCATGTAGGGGAACAAGAGGACATGATGGAAGGGTGGTGTTCTTAAATGATGAATTTTCATCTTTTGTTTTTAATTTCCTCAGAAATTTTCCCACTAAGCCAAGCACAATGAAAATACTGAATGTATTTCAGGAAACTATATAAAGCAATTAATCAAATTAGCAGATACATTCAAAAATAAAAGACAGTGGGTGCTGATGTGGAATTGTCTCTCAGTCAGGTTTTGCCATGGTGGTGAGAACTGCTTTATTGCTTTCACCATCTCATCTGCTGTGGGCAGAGGAAGGGAACTGACAGGTTAGTGTCTCAGTCTGAAAAAGTGGTTGGTGCCTTGGACAGAAGTCATGTTGAAAGGGTAAAATAAGGCATTTATTTTATTTCTAGGTTTCAAGAACTGGTTAAACAGAATGGTTTTAGAGTTACTGGTGCCAACCCTTTCCTAAAGGTGTTTTTCATCTGCTAATATAATGTGTTTGCTTAAATTACTTTTTCTTGCATTTTAGGAGCAGGCAATACAGGACAAACTCCAAGCTCTGTCCCAGAGTTGCGAAAGGTATTATCACCTCTTTGGCATAAGAAATGCTTGTATTTTGGAGGCTGTTTTTTCTGACATGATCAGAAGAAGAAGGACTTGGGAGCATGTCTAGGGAGAAGCTGACCGTGTTGGGTGCCGTGTGCCCATTCTGGCACCTGCAGCTCTTTTAATTCCTTAGTTTGGATGCAGCATCCTAGCCTTGGTGTATGTACAGCTGTATGGAACTTCTGTTTTCCTCCCTCTACAGCAAACCTAATCTGTTTGCCCTTCTGCTGGGAGGGCAGAAAGACAGGAGCTGAGAAAACTTCACCTTAGAAGAGTAGGAGCTAGTGCAGTTCAGAGAGGGACTGTGAGGGCCCCTTAAGTGAAGGGATTAGGGGATGTAGGGATATATTCAGAGTGATGGGACTTTCACTGTGTTACTACCAGAAACATTAATAGATCATTTCATGGTAGGTGTTGTAGCCAGTGTAGAGTAGTGCCCTTCACTCACTGAGTATCTTCCAGTTGACTCAGTTTGGGCCAAAAAAAAGTGCAAATGTGTCCTTCTTCACAGCCTCTCTTATAGCTTACATGTGATGCATGACTCCATTGTGTGTGACTCTGCCTTTATTTTGGGGCTGTTTTTCCTTTTTGTTGTGAAGCTACATGAGTCCAGATGTTGCCTCTGGTAAAGAGATGAGTGACAGCTTGGAAGGAGCAACAGGAAGTGGAAAGCAAGAAGGAAAGTCTTCAAAGAAGCATAAGAAATCCACGCGTGCTCGTTCACGCCAGGAGAAGTCCAGCAGACCCAAACTGACCATACTAAATGCAAGTACAACCTGTTGGAGGGCAACTCTAGGGTTCCTTTGGCTTTGCCAGGAATAAGGGTTGTTGATCTCTGCATGCAGGTGTGTAACACAGGGGATAAGATGGTGGAGTGCCAGCTTGAAACCCATAACCACAAAATGGTGACGTTCAAGTTTGACTTGGATGGTGATGCGCCGGAGGAAATTGCTACTTACATGGTGAGATGTGGCTGCCCATGGGCTCTCAGTGCTCCCAGTTGCTTCAGGCAGCTCCTCGTGTGTGCCTGTTGCCTAAGCTCCCTGGCAGCTGTGGAACGAGGCATTAATAAAAAAATGTCTGTTTTCCCCTTTATTTTGATGTGGCCTTCTAGGTGGAGAATGAATTCATCTTGCAAAGTGAAAAAGAGACTTTTATTGAGCAAATGAAGGATATCATTGATAAAGCAGAAGATATGCTCAGTGAGGATACAGAAGGAGAGCGAAGTTCTGACCAGGGAATAAGTCCCCAACAAGATGCAGATAGGCTGGAAATAAGCGAGGTAAGAAATGCTAAGTACAGATTCCTCGTTTGATTCCTTTTTCTTAACAGCCAGATACTTAAATTACTTTGCATCTTGTGTTAAAAAAAAAATAAAAAGGTTTCTTAACTAGAAAAATAATGCTTTTGCTGTGTTAAGTCATACAACATGAGTGGGATGCTGGTCCTCTTGCACTGATCCAGCTATTTCTTGTGTTGTTTCTTTAACAGGAGAAGCGTCAGTCTCAAATGAAGACACCTGTGTATCAGCAAAACGGTAAGAGTGCCTTTGAATTTCTAGTGGAAGGTGTCCCTGCTCATAACAGGGAGTTGGAACTAGATGGCCTTTAAGGTCTCTTCCAGCCTCCTGTGTAATTAAGACAAAGCCATGATCTGGAGTCAATAAAAATTCATGTGTTTACTTGTTATTTTCTTTTCATCCCTAGTTTTGCATACTGGAAAAAGGTGGTTTATTATTTGTCCAGTGGTGGAAAACCCTACTACAGATGCCCCTGAGTTTTCTCCCCCGGTGCCTCCCAGTGCCCAGCAGACAGAAGGGCCAGGTATCTCCAAACTTTATAGAAAACATCTTCTCCAGAGCTGCTGTGTTGTCTCTCTTCTGTCCTCACCTCACTCAGCTGTGATGCTTTCACTTGATTTTATCAGAGGAGGAAGATGATGAGTTTTGTTAAGCTGTGCATTTACATGTGCATGTGCATTTACATATGTTCCTGGTGTTGAACCAAATTGGGAATCTTTGAGTTTCAGTAAAGCGTCAGTATTTTAGCTATACCTTATGCTGCAGGGTAGCTGAAATTCTATAGAATTCACTATAGTGTCTTTTCAGTGATACATTTTTTGCATGATCTGAAAATTCTTGTTTGATGTACATAACAGCTATTTGCTGGTGGGAATTACTAGTCGGTTGTCCCTGCAGCTGACTGGGGTACTTAGCAGTGATTTCCTTTCCTTTAAAGGTTCACCTTTTACTTGTGTTCTCTCTAGACCCGGAGCAGGCAGATGACCAGCCGGTGAGCTCTGCAGTGACAGAGGCACCCGGGCTTGGGGCTGGCCAGCAGCTTCCCCTGCACACAGGGGCCAGTGACAGCCCCCTTGGAGCCACCCCGTCCTTGGCACCAGCTCCTGCCAGCATAGCAAGCCAGCCGGAGTTCCCAGCGCCAGCCCCGCCGGCATCTGCCCCGAGCATCGCGGAGCCCGCTGCGGCCAGCGGGGGTCAGCCGGAGTTCCCCCGAGCCGTGGGGCTGGAGGAGCCCCCCGAGGCCCCGGCCCTGCACCTGCAGCCGCAGGCGGACGAGCCGGCATGTGTGCCCGACGTGGAGATCGCCTGCTGCAGCGTGGGGCCGCCCGCGGCCGTGCCCGCGGCGCCGGGGCCGCTGCCCGCGCTTGCGGACGCCGCGGTGCTGGAGCGGCAGCCGGCGCCGCAGGGGCCGCACCTGCCCGAGGGCGGCCAGCCCTTCCCCCCGGCCGCCGGCCCCGACGCCCTGGGCTTGTCGGGGTCCCAGCTCCAGAGCCCCACGCAGGTGCCGCTGGCCGCGTCCCAGCAGCCGCCGGTGGCGCAGGGTGGCGCGGGGATGGCCGGGGCAGGGGTCAGCCTGCTCCAGCAGCAGAACCCCCCCGGCACCGCCGAGTCTGACAGCGAGGGCCCCCCCAGGGTGGACTTCGTGGACAACACAATTAAAAGCCTTGATGAGAAGCTGCGCAATTTGCTGTACCAGGAGTACGTTCCAACTTCTTCGGCGTCAGCAGGGACGCCGGACACCTCCGTGCCACCCGAACAGGGCGACAGTGAACTTACCTTATCCCCGTTTCCTGAAGAGCAAGCTCCTGCCCCAGCGTTGGATGGGAGAGAACCAGGCATCCCAGACACCGGCCAGGAGGTGAAAGCTGCTGCCGCGCTGCTGGTGCCCCTTGTGCCCTCGGAGGGCTTGCCTTGCCCCCCACTGGTCAGTCCCCCAGTGGCTCTGCTCTTCATCCCCTCAAAGCCAGCCTGTAGGGCTGGCCCCAGGGCACAGCTCAAGACTCACTCTCCTGTGAGGTCTGACGCATGTAGATCTTTTGCTTCTCTAAACATTTCCTATCTATTCCAGGTTGTGTTACCTTTGCCTGCTGACTGCTTTCCAGTGTGTAAAGCTCACTTAAATTTTTTTTGTCAGATGCATCCCAACTCATTTTTCAGAAATGCTTGTTAATGAAAGCCAGACTTTCCCTTTGGGTTTAGAAGTGGTACAATACTTCAATTCATCTTCTCTAGTGTCCTGTCCAATGCAGGCAGAAATGTGTCAATTTCTTTGTAGTTTAAGAATGTAAAACACATGCATGGTATAGTCATTCTAGTTCTAATGAAGGCGATTTTGCTTCAATTTTAAGTATAAATGAATGGCAGTGGTTGCAATTACTGCCTTTGAAGTCAGCTTGGATAAAGCAAACACTTCAAGTACCTTTGCCTTGTCCACATGCTGCAGCCAAAGGCAGACATTCCATGGGCAGGAGTTTCTTCTGTTTCCTGTAATAGTTTCTTTTGTCTTCTCCTGAGCTTGGTAGAGCAAGACTGCCACAGAAGCCTCTAGGAAAAAGGTAGCAGCCAGTCTAGGGCAGTGGTTACTCTGTCTCAGTTGAGCCCCCATGTTAGGTTTTTTCAGGTAGAATTCCAAGTTTATGAAATCATCAGATTTGCAGCACATTGTGCTAGATCAGTGTCTATTCCAGGCCCTGGCACAGGGTGCTCAGAGAAGCTGTGGCTGTCCCATTCCTACAGTGTCCAAGGCCAGGTTGGATGGGGCTTGGAGCAACCTGGGATTAATGGAAAGTGTCCCTGTACATGGCAGGGGAGGGAATGGGATGAGCTTTAAAGTCCTTTTCCATCCAAACCATTCTATGATTCTATATCTTACTCAAAAGTAACATTTCTGGAGATAACTCCATCCCCACTAGCAAGGCTGAGCCTGTTCTGTGTAGCATCAGCTGGAGGGACTCTTATCAACTGCTCGAGAGGTGCTGTGTGGTACAGGAAAGCAGCTGTACTGGAGTGACTCTTTGGGGTGTGTTGTTTTCTAATGGTAAATTACTTTCTACAGCAAACTAAATTCACTCTCTGTGAAAGGTGCCATGTCTCTCTAGTAATTGGAATTCATCCTATTAAGATCTGTGCCAGTAAGGAAAGAGACATAGAACTTCTGTAGACAGACGTACAGGTGAGGAACGCACAGTCTGGCTGGAAAAGCAAACCAGAACCAAGCCCCAAGCATGTGTGTATATATATATAATATACTGGGTTTCAGTAGCTGGGCTGCAGTTCCAGCTGCGATGCTGCCACTGCTTTATTTCTTCCAAGGAAGGAGGAAGAAAATAGGGGAGTTGGAGGCAAGACTTGAAGGCCACCTCCACAGGCACTGTGAAATAGTTCAGTATTCTCGTAGTGCCAGGGCAGCAAGGGGAAGTGAGGGAAGGAGAACACATTCTGCTTTGTGAGAGAGACTGAAATTGTGTTTCTTTTTTCCTTTTACTGAAAGTTGAACAAGCTGGAAGTCACTGGTGTGAGCGCTCATCCCTCAGAGGCAAGAGGTGGGTCAGCAGGCAGAACAGGTAATGCTCCTCCCGCCATCCCTGCTCGGTGTCAGTGGCAGGAGTGGGGCAACAGCCTTCCGTGCCCAGCAGCCCTGTGTGTCTCTGAGACACCAAGAACATCAGAATAGTTCAGGCCCAATGTACCATGCAGATTTCATTCTGCTTCTGTTTTTCTCCTTAAAATTTGTTAACTGAGTTATGAAATTCCACACACCTATTATTATTTGAATTCCCCAAACCACTAGATCTGCCAACCTGTAGATATTTTGTATTGCCGTTGCTATTGCCTCCTGCATTTTCAATCCTGTATTATGAAGACTGGGGTTTTAAATTATTTGTCAGTGGTACACTTCAGTTTATCACAGTGAAACATTGCCTTTTATTATATTAAAGCATTCCAGAAATAAATATTTTTTTTCCCAACTTTAAATCAGGTCCAGTCACAAGCATCGCTTCAGCTCCTGCTGCTCCAGCAAAAGGCCTCCTTCAGGTAACCAGAACTAGGAGTGGTTTTCTGCTTGACTGTTACAGTTCCTTTTGTTAAGCGCTCTCATTTTTTCCAGGTTGCACCTCCATCATCAGGCACAGCTCCACAGATGGAGACTTTCCAGAGGAGCGAGGAGGCAAAGAGTACAGCTTCGCCCGCACACACAGGGAGCGTAATGCGGCGAGCGACGGCAGATGGGGCGATGAGTAACTTCCACAGGGATGGCTCTCCGGGCTCTGGTTCCTGTGGAAAACAGGCTGAGGCTCTGGAGAGTGGCACGCCGGCCAAAACCATTGGCAGGTTTTCAGTCATCAGCACGCAGGACGAATTAACTTTAGCGGCACCGCACTGCTTGAGGTTCTCGGCCCCGCCGGACGTGTACCTGGACGAGCTGCCCTCCAGCCCAGACATGAAGGCTGCTGTCCGCAGGGTCCAGACGGCCTCTTCTGTGGACGTCCTGTGCGACCAGGCCTCGAGCGACTCCGCCGATGAGCCCTTCCCACGGCAGCCGGCGGCTGCTGCAGCTGCACAGCTCTCCCCCCCCAGCAGCAGCACAGCCACGGACTTAATCAAAAAAGCAGCTGCTTTTCTGCAGAGGTCTGCCAAAGGTGGCTCCCCTGGCCCGGAGTCGCCCAATGGGCAAGGTGCGAAGATTCCTACCATCAACATCACGTCCTTCCACTCACAGTCGTCCTACATGAGCAGTGACAATGACTCAGAGTTTGAAGATGCTGATATGAAGAAAGAATTGCAGAACCTGAGAGAAAAGTACGTTGAGTTGCAAGTGATGCGAAGGAAGCTTGTGTTACCATACCTTAGCAGCAGCTCAGCTTAGGATGAGCAGAACTGTAAGGAGTAAACTGGTTCTGGGCAAATCAGGCATTGCCAGGACCTTCCCCCACCTTCCTGCTGTGCATTGCCTTACCTGCCAGTTCCAGTTAGAAGAACTCATAGAATCCCAGAATGTTTTGGGTTGGAAAGGACCTTAAAGATCATTTCATTCCAACTGCTGCTATAGGCAGGGACACCTTCTATTATATAAGGTTGCTCCAAGCCCCATGCAACCTGGCCTTGAAGCCAGAGACTCCCCCTTCCAGGGATGGGGAGTCACCACAGATAGATTGTTGTAGCTTTGCATATTTAGGGATGAGCAGCTGATTGTTTTATAACCAGTAATTGTTTTGTTTCTTCTTTTACAATTAATTACACTGTCAGGATATGGTGCTTTATCAAATACATTGCTAACAGAATCCTTTTATTCTTTTAGGCATATGAAAGAGATTGCTGAGCTGCAGACGCAGCAGAAGAACGAGATAGAGGCACTGTATATTCGCCTGGGGAAACCCCTTCCTCCCAACCTGGGCTTCCTTCACTCTGCCCCACCAAGCAGCCGACGCCGAAGAACCAGCAAAAACAAATTGAAAGCTGGAAAACTCTTAAACCCTCTGGTCCAGCAGCTCAGGAGTGGAACATCAAGCACAAGTAGGTGTACTGGGTGCTTCCCTTCACCTGTTGCTTTTATCAGTTGTGGCTGTGCTTTGTGATGTCTGGGACTGCTGGAAAGGATGGAATTTTTGTTGGTTTTAAGCTGGCATGCTTATCCCAGGTCCCAGTGGCAAGCCATACCTGCCTGCTCTGCATTGCCTACAGTACTTGGCAGAGAAATAATATTCCACTTCAATTTGGAAAACAGCCTGGTTACATCTCCTCCGTTCTTCAATTTACTGATGTTTGTATTCACTTCTTAGGTGCTGTTATGCTGTGTTGATTAGGTGCTGTATCTTCTTGTTTCCTTTTTCCTCCAAGATGCCATGTCTAAAAGATGGGATTGCATTTGCTCCCCCAAAGGATGGGAAGTAAAAGCATTTACAAAACTGTGGTGGATGCCTTGACCATCTGAAGTAGTATGAGATTTTCACAGAGCACTACACTCTTGAGTTTTTATCTCTTGGAAAAGTATAAAAATATAATTTACCTGGGAAATACCGATAAACCTCAGTACCTATTTCTTCAGCAAAATGTAGAATAGAATATGCATAATTTTTCTTCAGCTTAGTTTGTGCTGTTATTTGGGGGACCAGCAGCATTTCCAGAATTCACCCTTTATTTCAAACCTGGTGGCTGTTGTGTTCAATATTACTGCATCATAGGGCCCCTTTGAATTTTGTTGCATCAATCTTTATAGACAGGGTGTTGAGGAGGATTTTGCTTTTAGGTAAGGATTTCAGCTGAGTTGGGAAAAACAAATATATTCAGAGGCAATAAGTTCTGTGGCCCATCTTGAGACTGAGTGTTCTTGCCCACAGGGACTGAAGCAGTGTTTGATACTGTCTGTACTTCTACATCTGTCTAGATAGTTATGTATTGATACTTATCTGTAGATATCTAGATAAATATCTCTATCTGTACTTTTGTCTACACAAATATCTCAGGTAAAGAGGCTTAAAAACCGAAATACCTTTCCAATCATGTGTTACATGAATTTATTAGTAGACGCATCTGACAGTGGCAATGACAATTATACTCAAATAGCTATAAATAAAAAGCTCCTTGTGTCTTTGCTGCAACTTTTTATTCTTCTCCATTTGCTGAATTTCACTTTGGTGTGGGAGAAGAGACCTCTGTGTCCTGCTTCATCATTCTGTGTGTCCATCCTCCTCCTCAGCACCCCAGCAGCTCTCTCTTTATTCCAGCAGTGCTCCTTCTGCGGCTCCTGAAAACTGTAAAAATCAAACCTGCTCCAGGAGCTTCTTGGAGAAACAGGATCAGCGATAGGAGGTGTGGATTATTTTCTGGTGCAGGCTGTCTCCAAAGTCTGTGTTCCATGCAGTGCATCAGAATGGTGAACGGCTGTTCCTCTTGGGGTCAAGATATGGATTATTTTTAGGCATGGATTTTTCATTCAGAGTTTTCCTAGCTTTTGCCATTGCATGTGTTGTGTTTGTTTGCTCTTTCAGGTAACCTTTCAGACTCTAAAGACTCACCCCACAAAGAAAGCAGTAACTCACAGCCGGGCTTCCCCGAAGCCGCCGCGGTGCCTGCGGGTGCAGCCCCTGCCTTCGGCAAGGCTGTGCAGACGCAGCAGCCCTGCTCTGTCAAAGCCTCTCTGTCCTCTGACATCTGCTCCGGCCTGGGCCCCGACGCAGCTGACGCCAACACAGGCTCTGGCCAAGGTGATTCTTCCTGCTGCCTCTTTCGTGTCTCTTCCAGCACGTGCTAAAATTAGTTCCCCTCCCTTAGGCTTGAACTTCTTAGGAGTGATAGAGGAATGTGAACCTTTGGCAATCCAAATTACTGGCTTATCTTTAAAAAGAGCATTGTGGTATTGTCAGAAGAGCAAAATTTAAGTATCTTGCCGAGTGTTGCCAACACTCAAGAAGGTATGCCCCAAGACATCCCTAATTCTTAGGAAATAAATACCTTTCAGTTTTTCCAGCAGTGGCTTTATCCTAATACCTCCTCTGGAGTCTGCCTTACAGATTCCTGAGAAAAAATGAATGGAAAACAAATAAGATACGAAAGGCTAGGAGAGGGTTTGCTTGGTTTCATTTTTTTAGCCCCTTGATTCTGGTTGACCCCAAATTCCTCATTATGAACTGCCAAACCATCTTGGGCATGAGAGAAAATAAAAATTAAATTAAAAGAAAACCAAACCCAGGGGACCAAGTTATGTTTCCTTTCTATGAGGGGTTCACTTTGTGCATAATTCTGGAGTCCCAGCCGCAGGACTGTGCTCATGTGACCCCAGTTCTGAGACCTCTGTGTATTGCCCCTGTCGTAGGCTTTGACTGATCTTGTTGCCATGCATATGGGAAGTTCCAATGATGATTAAAATACCTTCCTCTCATTGCACATCCTGCCAAACTAATCTACAGAATATCTATCTGTCCTCTTCTGCTGTTATTGCATCCTTTGTGTATGGTCAGTGAACTTGCTCCTCTTTGGCAAAGTTAAGGGGGAGATATGGAGGTTTAACTAACAAAGCTGATTTGACTGATGGTTTAGGACATCTGATCACAGCTACTTGTACTTTATAAGTGTCTTTGTTTTCTTCCCTTTATATTCATTTACAGGCTGGACGGTTTTCCACCAAACGTCTGAGAGAGTGACCTATAAATCTAGTAGCAAACCTCGTACCAGATTCCTCAGTGGACCTGTGTCTTTGTCCATCTGTTTGTATTTGTTCTTTTGTATTTTATCACAGTCCATCTTTCTTTTACCCCCTTTTTCCAGTTCCATGATTTATATCTCTGATATGTTTGGCAGGATGCCCCCTTTTCTCAGCCATCTTTTCTTTTTTTTTTATCTTTCTTTTAAGTAATCATCATGAACACACCTTATTTATATTAATTTTTCATGTGAAAGCTTTTTTTGCACTGCTTTTGGCTCATGCCTGGGCACCAAAAGCATGTGTGGAAGATCTCATCATTTATTATATATAGCCTGATGGTAAATTTTACCCTGGAGTTATCAAAGCTTATGTACTTTATGTGATTTCTGTTGAAGTAATTTTATTTGCAATGTGGCAAATATACATGTCTGCTGTCCCGGTTCCAGCGACAACAAAATGAAATCCATCCTTCTGTAGACGAATGGTCTCTTTCACACATGTTTGGACTCTGAAGACATGCATGTAGCAAGCTGATACAATTCTAGAAGGTCACTGGAGGGTATAACTTCCATACAAGGGCTGTATTAACTCGATATACAGTACTGTTTATATCCACTCTATTTTCTTTAATTTTTTCCCCGCTCTTTGCATGTGGAAATGCTGAGACAACAGTGCTCCAGCTAGTTCTTTCCAAATCTCTGTCCCAGGTGGGCTTTTCCCCATGCAGTCACTTTAATTAGTTTAAGTGAGCAATTTTTTTATGGAGTCATAAGGCACAGGAAGATCTGGTTACTCTAAGGGAGAGTCCTTTCAACTTTTTGTGTAAGCTGATCTGGCTGAAGCACTTGACTCAGTTTATTTTCTTATGACCTTATGTGACCTCAGAGATGAAGTCAATTAGCAGTTCATCAAAGCATAAATAAGTAAAAAGCAATATCAGATATTCAGATGATACTTGGAAATGGATTGTTAGGATCCAGGAGTTTTGTCTCAAATAACTGTGCACCTTCTATTTGTACCCTATTTGTCTGACTTCTAAAGTAATTGGCAATTCCACCAAATGATATCAAGCTATTTAATGAAAAAATTAAGACTTTTTTACCCAATTGTAGATGCTGCTTTTTAGGCAAACAGATTTTGCTTGTACAATAAAGATATGTTGTGCTGAACAGGTACTATAGGCCACTTACATATAACCTTAGAAGGGCTGATAACGTTTTTCAGAAAGTATTTGGTTGAATAACTGTGGATTTACAGTAGTATCAGCTCTCCCCTTGGAGTTCTGCACTGCTCATTACTATCCAAGTGGGTCAGGTCAAAGGCACAAGACCACTCCAAAACACTCCTTCTAATTTTATCAATAAACATTATTTTAAGAAATAATGTCGAAATTTTTTTTTTGTTTGAGCTCCCTGAAAGCACAAACGCTCAGGTGACTGATGTTTACAGAATTTATTATCATGTAAGCTTTTAATGACTGGTGAAGTCATTAGACAATTTTGCATTTAGGGATTTTTTTCTGAGAACATGAGGAGAATTCTCAGCTCCTAAATATTCCTGTTTGGTGTTATAGTGGCCACAGTAATTTCTTCTTCTGTACATGTAATTCCCAGAAGATGTTTCCTTAATCTTCTATGGAATTACTATTCAGTTGGATGCAAAAAGTCTGGGAGGTGGCAATTAAAACCAGTGTATTAAAAATGTTTGGGTTCATGGATGTTGTGAATGAAACCAAGGGAATATGTAAATCCTTTGAATCGTGAAGTCTCCTCGTGCTTAAATAACTCAGCATGACTAATTGCTTTCTGTTCCCAGCCCATGTGCTCTCTCAGGTTCTGGGCGAGTGCTGGGGGAGGTTTGGCCTCCCCCATCCCTGAGTCACACCAGCACATGGGTGCAGTTCAGGCACTTAACGTGACACTGCAATCCTTGGTCCCCCCCGAGGGTCCCAGTCCTGAGAGCACAGCTTGGCTGTCAGGGGAGCCTCTCACCTGGGCTGCATCTCACCTGGGGAGCTTGGCAGGTCCCCATGGCTGAGCTGTGGGCAGGTTTGGTGGGGCAGGAGGTTATTCCAGCTTGTTTTCCTGTGAGCCCAGCAGGTGGGATGTGTGTGTGAGTGCAGGAGTGGGGCTGCGTGCGTTCCTGTCCTTCCCCAGGGTGGCTGGGCTGGGATGGTGGAGGGCAGGATGGACAGCAGGATGTTCTGTGGAGCTGGGATCCAGAGCAGCTGTGTCTGGAGCCTCAGGAAAAATAGTGCTTGAGGAAGGCCAGGTTGGATGGAGCCTGGAGCAGCCTGGTCTAGTGGAAGCTGCCCCTGCCTGTGGCAGGGGTTTGGGACAAGATGGGCTTTTAAGGTCTTCCAACATAAACCATCCTTTGATTCTATTATTTGAAGGTGATTATGTTGGCAATACCAGCTGTCTCATGTTCCTTTCCCTCTGGAAGGGGCGTCAGTGGACCCAGCAGGCAGGCACAGCCAAGAATTTGCATTAGGTGCTAAACATGTTTGCATCCATACCCTGGAAGTGTCCCAAGACAGGCTGGATGGGGCTTGGAGCACTTGGGATAGTGGAAGGTGTCCATGCCCATGGCAGGGATGGAACTGGATGGGTTTTAAAGTCCCTTCTAACCCAAACCATTGCAGGTAGGATTCCATCCTCTGTGCAGTTGTACAGGGCTGGGACATGGCTGTCCAGTGCCAGCAGCTCGCAGATAGTTCAGAGTTCTGGGTCTATTCCATAAGTCAAGGTTTCCCTGGTATTTTTTTTGTTTGAGAGCTGTTGAGAAACACTGTGCTGCATTTTCAGAAATGCTCCGAATCTGTATATTTGGTTAAAGAAAACCAGCCCTTTGGCGAGGGAGGATGTGCCAGCAGGAGACCTGCTGCACTGGCAGAAAAGTTGGCAACAACTTTGAAAATAAATGTTCAGATGGGTTAAAGACAGTATCACAAGGATCTTGCTCTGGTTACAAGATCCATTGAAACACTTTCACAGTGTTCTGCAGGACATTTTGATCTGGTGCCCATGTCCAATATTGACTTCACCTTTGTATGTTTCATGAAATAAAATATTTTTTATGGGCTTCGGCATAATTTTTCCTGAGTTCCTTTCCTGTGTTAAACTGCAAGAGTGCCCTAGGGAAGAGTTTTCACTGATCATGAGTGGAATTTTCAAAGCTCCATTTGGCTTAGGCTTGGAATCTTGTGTAATGCAATTTTTGCCAGGTTTGTAGCAATTCATATAGTGTATGTGCATATGCAATTATGGAAATGGTCTAGCAGTTTATTGCCATTTCCATTTTTTTGTAGCTTTCCAGCTTTTTGGCAGCTGTTAGCGCAAATATGGGACAGTGGATTTTTTCTGTTCTGTATGATGTAATAGCTGTTTAATTCCTCAGATAAGAGATCTGGAATTGTAGGTAAAATGCTCCGCTGAACTTTCACAGTCTTCCATTAAATCTTAATTGTGATTCATCTCCTTTACTGTTCTTAAACGTGTTAATTTTAGCAGTAATACAATTAATCAGGTGAATTAGATCTGCAAAGTGACTTTTTAATTGAATTTGAGTTCATAACCAGCCGTGGCTGATAACTGTCAGTCCCTGCTTGAGGCAGTCTCACCGCTTAGGGAATGTTTCCCATCTCCCAAGCCCCACACTGGAGTGGTGCTGCTGGAAGGAGCAGCTCTCTTCTTGGTGCCTGACTCGCCTGTGATATTTTCCTCAGAGCTGGAGCCCCTCGTGCAGGTGCTTCCTGAATGTGTTGAGTATTGCTGCTTCTGTCATTCCCCGGGCTGGGTTTGGCACCTGAGGTGCTGGGAAGCCTCTTCCTGGCTGTGCAGGAAGCAGAGGGGCTGGCGATGAAGGTGTTTTTACACACACTCGAGCACCTACTGCAGTCAGCTGCCTGCTTTTATTTCTTGCAAGCAGGTGCTTTCCATTTGCATTCATATTGTGCTAAGAAGTGCCTGTTGCTGCAGGAAATAGCAGGAAATAGCCTCTAGGATTGCTGCCGTGGTCACTGCCATTGTGGGGACTTGTTTCCATTGTGGAAATTGGTAGCTAACTTTGGGATAGGCAAGGTAAGGTGTATCTGAGGGAAAAAAGAGCAAAAGATATAAGAATACAAGACAGATGGTTGAGTTGTGAATATGACTGTGTTTGCTGTCTGGGCTTTGAGATGAGAACTGAACTTGTTATGCTTGTGTTGTTGTAGTCATGTCCTTATTTTCTCAGGGTAGAAATCCATATGAACTATATGAAATAATAAGAAGTTCTTTCAAAGCAGTCCTCTGTTCCTCATGCCACCCATATCTAAGCACAAACATCTCTTCTCCCTTTCTTCCTCTCTCCCTCGTTTCTTTACTTTCTCTTCCTCAGTCTCTGACTGAAATTGTTTCCTTCTCCTCTGAAGACTCATTCAGGGCCTGTGTCAGCCTGGACCTGCAATCTCTGAGTTTAAAGCTGCATTTCTGGCACAGTAACAAAATGTTACACCACTGTTTACTCTAGAGAAAAAGCACATCATCCTCTATCTTACTTTTTTGCCCCAGTCTGATTTTGCTCATGGTTTCAAATGCTTCTTCCCAATGAACCCACCATAGCCCATGTCAGACACTCATCTCCCCCCATCCCATAACAATATTCTTCTTATCAAGTCCAAAATACCTTTCAGGAAATTTTGGCACCCAAATAGCAACGGTGCCAATGTCTGGCAAGATCTGACAGTCGAGTCGGGGTCTCAGCACACTTCTGGCACTCTGCTATATGTCAACAGACTGTAAAATCATGATGAATGATGGAACGAGACAATAATGAAAAAAACAAGTAGTTTAGTTAAATTAAAACTCGGCTACCCTGACAGATTATTTTTCTGCACTCGGACAAGGCATAAGGGAAACTCATTCACAGTTCATTCAATTGAAGTTCAGAGTCTCACATTTAGACACAAATCCTACAAATAAACTATTTGGAAACAATTGGCCTCAGACCTGCAGAACAATGTATCTTTTTGGACTTGTAAAACAAGATTTTTAGGGTTGTTTCATGGTTTGTCTTTGCAGCCAGACTAGCTTGACTTGTTCCTGAAAGCATTTTTGGCCTCCAATCACAAACTAAATTGACCTTATTTCCTGCATTAATAGGAAACAAATCAAAACCTTCTATTAGGAAGCCAAGGATATTTGGGAAAAAAAAAAAAAAAAAAAAAAAAATTTAAAAATTTAAAAATCAACCAACCAAAACAAACCAAACAAATGCATCTTTAAGTCACGAGCCCTTGCTTTTGGCATGCTGTGGTACTTCCCAAAGCTTTTGAATGGCTGCACATTAAGAAAGGTTTGAGCTGTCCAGTTATTTAGGCTTCCTTTACTCACCTGAACTGCTGACTTTGTCTGTCCTTTCTTGCATAATAACTACTTTTTGATTGCTTAAAAGTACAGAAACTTGTCCGTCTGATTTGTTTTGTTTAGTCTTACCTAATTCTGTGTGTCTTGTATTGTTTTACCTTGTAGGGTCCACCTTGAAACGACTATGTCTAGGCAAAGATCACAGTAGTAGTAACTATCCCATTTTTGTTTCTCAGTATTTCCTTCATGGCATGGGATGTTCTTTGCTTTTTTATTATTATTTTTTACTAAAAGCTGGTTATTTAATTACTAAAGCTGATGCACTTACCGGATGCTAGATTGTATAAATTGTGGTACTTTGAGAGTAATGCATGTGCTGTGATGTCTTGGGAACCTTGCATGCTGCAAGAGTCGTGGTGTTCTGTGTGTGAGACCGTGCACGCATGCAGCCAGGAAACTGGGTCCAGTGTCTGTCTCTGAAATACACACCTCTATATGACTGCAGTTCTCTGCTGGAAGAATTGATAGCTTAAAACCATTCCAGCCCCCTTGAGCTGCATGAAATATTAAACACCAATTGAAGAGCTTTCTTCTAAAAATCCTTACTTTTCTCACTTTTACCCCAAGTAAAGGAGAAGGAATTGAGCAGTATTCACTTAGAAGTGATGTTGCAGGAATGCATGATCATTTAAAGGTTATTAATGTATTTTATGTAACTGTAGGACTAATTAGTGTACTCGGTTTCATGGGCTGGTAACTGATAAACAGAGAAAATACTCCATGTTCATGTTTGCTTATATAATCATTTTACTACAGTTCTATGAACTTTTTGCTTGGAGAGATGGTCTTTATTTCCAATCTTTAGCTGTCCCAAGTATGTTAGCTGAGAAGTTACTTTACATTTTCTGCTTGGGTCAAATTCAGACTCCTTCAGTTGCAGTCCCCTGCTGAGCTTGCTGTGTCAGACTTGTAGTCACTAAGCAGAAAAAGGATAGAATTTATTTTGTTTTTACTAGTTCTTCTGGAAAGAAGTGAACATACAGAATTAAATCTCTATCAATACTCTTCCTGACTGCTTTTATCTATACCAAAAGTTCTCTGTCTTTGTCTCAAACAATCACCCTGCCCACTACAGACTCTCTCCTCTCTCTTTTATACTTTCATGGTCCTGATGGGGTTTTTTCCCCCCAAAATACACAAATAGCCATGTGAATCGTCCTGGCATCATCGAGAGGGGTGGTGGGCTCCCAGAGGAGCAGGAGCCAGCCCTGCCTGTAACCTCTGTGACAATAGCATTTTTCCAGGAGGACAGTAAACTTAGGCAAGTGAAATAAATGGTAAATTCATTTTATAAATGTTTGCAGTATTAGCAGTATATCCCACCTCCCTCTTCCTCATGGTAGTGTCTGAGGAGATGTTGTATGGGATGTGAGCTTTATGGGGCTGCATTCCTGGCTTCACTTCCTGTCCCTAATTTGACCCAAATTAGTACAAATTAGTAGCCAAGGTAACATGATGTGATAGAAAATGCAAAACCATTGGACTTGGACCATTTCTTTAAGCAAATGTGTTCTGCAGCCAGGAGGGGGAGGGTTGGAAATCTGAAAAGCCACCACTGGAGTGGCAATAGGTGAGAAGGGGTTTGAGCTGCAGGGGTGAGGCAGAGACACCATCTCAGCTCTCTGTGTGATTTTCCAGGATCCTCGACCAACAGCCTGGTGACATGTCCTGAGCCCCTCCCACAGTCAACGCTGCAGGTTCAGGCCAACAACAGTAACAACAAGAAAGGGACGTTCACAGATGACCTGCACAAGCTGGTGGACCAGTGGACGAGCAAAACTGTTGGAGCTGCACAGACAAAACCTTCTTTAAACCAACTGAAGCAGAACCAAAAAAGGCAAGACATGGAGCCAAAGGCTAACCCCATGCAAACGCAGAATGAGACATGTGGAGTAAGTGGCCCTCCTTGAAGGACATACCTTTTGCTATGTGTCTGACAGCCTTTGCAGACCTCAGATGAGGAGGAGGACATAGACTAAAATTACTCCAGATAAATGCTTTCTATAAATGTCCAGCTCTTTTCATTCAGTACTAAATCAAAATTTTTTTTAATTGTCCTTTGGAATAATCTTAAGGGATATATGGGCAGCAATATATATATATATGTATATATAATATATATTTTAAAATTCCAAACTGCTTATTAACAGCAATGCAGAGCAATACTCTTATTGTTATCATCTCTTGCTCAACTTCAGTTTCATCTATTACTAAAGTTTTCTTTTTGATGTTTAATATTAACCTTCCTCAGAACAGGGGCTGGCGACTCTGTGGTTGGGAGCCATTGTTTGAGTGGAATTGGAGTGAGTCCTGTGCTGGGAGAGGGGACAGCTAGGAGTGTGCTGACCCTTGCTTGTTGGACAACACCATCCTCAGAAATGCTGTCAAAGTATCCTACAAAAAATAAGGAACTGAAAAGCTCCCACTGGTCCCTTTTGTTGTCAGCAGCAGGACAAAGCCATTGCAGGTGTATCGTGTCTGTGTTCAGTGCTGCTGAGGGCTGATGCAGAGGCAACTCAGCAAGAAATGAGCACACACCCAGAATCCCAGTTCACCATTCTGGCCCACCCTGGTCTGGGTTTCCAAACCTCTTCCTTCTCACAGTTGGAGACTCTTTGACTAGTAATTTTTGCTGGGTTCATTTTCTTGGAAGGCTGCAAATTGAGCCAAAATAGAGGGAAATAACAGTGTGGAGCCGTTTTGTAATCCGCTAAAAGCAAGAGGACTAGACCTGGATAGCAAACCACTGCCTTTTTGAGATGTAGAAGGAAAAAATCCTGTAGCAGTAGTTGGTGAGGTGAAATGTACCAAAGCAGGAACCTCACCATTGCATCTGCTTTGGTACCTGCTGCTTCCTGAGTCAGTAAATTATCCTTTTACTCAGTAATGCTTCAACCAGCTCAGGAGTAAGCAATGTCTACTTAAGACCCTAACAGTTTTCATAAAATAAGTCAAAAGTTGGTGCTAGTAAACCCAAACTGAAGATTTCCATAAAAGAGGCGGGGAGGGTGCAGATTTTGTTTAGTCACTTCTTGCTTTCTTTTGATAAACTTGTTGCAGCATTTTGGTGTCTTTCCTCTGAGACCGCTGCAGAAGTTTGAAGTATTAAATGTGGATGTTTTGCCCACCCGTATCTCTGGAGAAATAAGTGGTTATTTTACTTATTTAAATCACCTGTCAGTATCAATTTAGGGCTGATTTTACCTCCTGCAGTTTTGGTGTCTCTGTCTCAAAGCCTGTGGAGAAGGCAGTGTGTCACTGTGAGAGGAGCAGGAATGTCCCTGTCTCAGTAGACTGGATCTTGGAGGGTTTGTGTCTTTCTGAACCATGGCAGTTGTTCCAGGGAGCCAGCAGAGCTGACTGAAGTTTTTTGGAGGTGATTTACCAGGAGCATGGAGAGGTTGGGATTCTCTGCTCTTCATTTTGCATAATTCCTTGTTGTGTGGAGGAGTGGCATCAGCTGGAGCCCTGGGGTGGGTGAGACCTGGGGTGGTTTGGGGCATGAAGTCCTTGTAAGGACCGTGCTGGCTGCAGCAGAGATGCAAGGGCAGAAGGCAAACACTGCTGGTGTACTTTCTGTTGAGTGTTTTAGCCATGAAGATGGCACAGGATACTGCAGGTGGCAGGTATGATATAGAAGAGCTTGACAAGGGTTGGTTTGAGAGTTCAGCACTGGTTTGCTGTTTGCACCCTCTGAAATTGGCCCTAACAGGGAAATTGAAGTTGAGGGAGAAGAGAACTGCGTGGTGTTGGGAGAGAAATGGCCAAAGGAGGGGAAGGGCACAGCATAAGAGGACTCCTAGTGTGGACAGCTGGACAAGTGACCTGTGTGTTGGAGGGATGAGCTCCATGGGGAGATGTCCATGTGCTGAATCACAGCTGAGTCAACTGGAAAGACAAAAAGAACTTGGGAAATCACATAAAGGATGGAAAAAATGACTTTCCAGGAGAGAGAGAATCTGAAGCTCAGGTTGTACTTCTTCAGTTCATCTGGTAACACAGTCTTTTGTCGCCTCTTTTGATCAAAAATGCCTTTGCAAGAAAAGAATAAGGAGCACTATGCAGATTTCCAGCCCATCAGAGAAGGTTATAAGGTTTTATGTTGAAAATAAAGGCTGGATAAGTAGGAAACAAGGTGATTCTTATGCCTTTTGTGTTTTTTTGTTTTTTTGTTTTTTTGGTTTTTTTTTAACCGGAACAAACTAGTACAGAGCTGTTAGGGTGGGCTGTGTCACATGGGCTTAGTTTTGGGAAAAGCTTTGTTGTTTTGGGAAAAGTGGTCCCTTGTGATGGTCAGAAATGAGGGGCTGGGGGTGGCAGGATTTGTACCTTCACTTCTGCCTTGTCTCTTGGGATTATTGTAAAGAGAAATGCCTCCCTAAAGGGTTTCATACAGAAGTGGGAGTGAAGGGAGTTGTCCCACGACGAAAAATACATTAAACAATTTTAAAAAAAATACAAAATGTTAACTAAACATTTAAATAGAAAAATACATTTTTTACCTCAAAATTTTCTCTTACTGTTCACCCACTGTTATGAATATGCAGGGCAGTTGTGTGGCTTACTCAAAATCTTCTCTTTCCCCCTGGAACAGAGGACTCACTTCCCTAAGTTATCTCTTTTTTACTCAAGACTCCTTCTACCACTAGCAGCAAATTGTTTGCTGTGAATAAAATATATTATTTTTTAACTAAGTGAAAGCTACTCTTTAAGGCTGGAAATAGAAGAGAAACTGGTGGTGTGTTTTAATAAGAGTGAGTGGTTTTCTTTTCATCCTCTACCATCAGAAATGTAGACAGCAATAATGTAATCAGCATGTAAAGGAAAACTTCATATTGTGCTTTGTTTCTACGGAAGTTACCAGTCCATTTGCCTGCAAATCCTGGTTAATCATATTAGAAATCCGGGGGAGACCTTTCAAAAGGGGAGGAGCCTTCATCCAAGGTGTCACAGGAGCATTGAAATGCACCTTTTCAAATGGTTTTATGAAGCATGGAAATGCAGGTAGATTCTCATCAGCAGCAGTTTGAAATGCAGTAGGAAATACTAAAACTGAGGTCAAACTGCCTGAGTGATTTCTCTGTGTGATCTTTGTGAAGATATGATGAAATAATCATTTTTACAGGTAATTTTGGTTAGCATTAGTCAAGGAATAGCTTAGGAATATGAGCTGCCTTTTGTGCAAAGAATACTGAATATTGTGTACTTAAAGACACTATTTGAAGGTGCCTGAGAATGAAGGGCTTGCCAAAAATGTTTTCTATTCTCCATGCTGTGTGTAGCTCCACAGGTTTTACAAAAAAAAACCTTACCCCCAAAAAGCTGAAACATGTTCCCAGTGCATAGTGAGGTTGTTTCTGAAAACACACAGGTCTGTGTCACTGGGTGACAGGAGCTGAGGGCTTGGACACCTTGAGCAGCATCTGAACCTCTGCTGGCATTTCCTGACTCATGGGCTTGGGTGTGCTGCCGGGAGCAGCCGGGCTGGACGTGGTCACGATGGCAAAACCAAGCCATAGCCCCTTCACTGTGTCTTCCCTCTCTGTTGGATTGGGAAAATAATAAAAAATGAATCTGCATTTGAAACTATTCAACACTGCCTTGGTCTGAATAGTTTTCCAGGGAACTGGAAAAGCACACACAGATCTCTTCAGGAGTGCCTAAAAGATTTGGAGTTTCAAAAAACTGGGCAGAAGTGATAAAAGCGATATCCATCTCTTTTATCATCCTTACCAGCTCGTGTTGGCAGCCAGCTCTGATTCTGCCCTGTGACTCAGTTTCCTTTCAGCGGTAGCTGGTCCATACAGAAGGAAAACACTGATGCTAATGGGGTAGCCAGCAAAAGAAAAACTGTCCAAAATCCTGCCTTTTCAAGTGGGTTGTGATAGTTATGGTCAGCTTTCACAACAGAATTACCTGGCTTCCTCTGTTCTGATAGAAACCCAGAAGTATTTATGATGTTGGTAAGTCACACCCAGTGCTTGCCTGTGTAGTTTGACAGTACTGGAGCTGTGAGTGTCACTGGGGTGGCACTTTGAAGTTTGCCTGGTAGACCACAGGAAAAATTATAACAAGTCCAAACAACAGATTTGGGGTATTTGAACTACCCTAGTCTTAGTCTTGTGAAGTTTTTTCATTTTTACCAGTATTTTCTGGTATGTTGTTCTCTGTGTATGTATTATTCTTGTTTTCTAAATGAGTTTGTGTGATTATTTGGGGGAAGGGGAATAAACAAAGGAAAAACTGTCAGGAGAAGGCAGGTGTGGGTGAAGCCGGAGCTGGTGGCTGGTACCTGCAGGGACACTTACAGGTGCTCGAGCAGAGGCTTGTCAGTGCAGAGAGAGTTGGGTGCGTGCAGGTGAGGAGGTGGCACGAGCAGAGCTGTGGCGGGTGAAGGTGCCACTGTCTCCCTTGGCTCGGTGAGTTCGGAGCTTCACAGAGGAGCCTAGTGGAGATGTGGAGGGGAAGAGCTTCCCTTCCTACCCATATGATACATGGCACCCCGCTCTCAGGGCTGCCTGCAGGTCTGGGGTCCTCAGCACAGGGAGGCCGTGGGGATGCTATGAGGGCTAAAGCAGGAGTGACAGGAGCCCACGCGGACTCACAGCTGCGCTGGTCACTGTCACCCCCGGCAGCTCGGGCTCCTCCTCAGGTGAACCCCTGACCATGGACGCAGCACTGTGCAGCAGAGGGGCTTCCCTGGCTGCCATCCGACATCAGCCTGGCTGGCTTGAGATGCTGAGCCAGTCCTGTTGAGGGCTGTGCTGTGATCCCAGCAGAGCGGTGCGCGCACCTCGTTCGTCGCTCCTGAATGTCCATCTGCTGCCCTTTGAATGGGACCAGCAAAGGGACTTGCAATCTCATGGCTTTCCTGGAGCTGGGAAATGCACAGCTTTGGGGCTGCTTTTCTGGCACATGTTAATTGTGATGCTTCAGTCAGCACCTCCATGCAGGAATTGATGGGATGTGTGGGCCTCCATCAGTGTTGAGTCATCAGAAGCGGTTAAAAAGATAATGGTTAAAATACATCATAGCCAAGAGGCTCCTACCAAGGGGAAGATGCAAGAGTGCGGTACCATAGCTCCTAAAGTGTGTATTTAGCTCACTTGATGCATAGGAGGAAGGTAAAGGAAGCAAACTTAAACCATTAATGTGTGTTTGTCATGACATTATCAGGTTTGATGTGTATGTGTAATGTTGGGTTTGGGGCATGACAATTTTTTTTGGTCACACATACCATTAAATGCAGCCACTGCTTTACTGAGGAATTCAGCTGAGAAGGAAAAAGTTCAGAACTGGAATGAGACAGATTTCTCAGTATTTTAAAAGAGCTGAAAATAAGCTTTTTCAAATTAATTTTTAAAAGGGGCAAAAATGTCACCTTGCATTTTTAGTGCCACTGAATAATCTCTTGCTAGTATAGTCCAACTCCTGGCCCTGCACAGGGCACCCCAACAGCCCCACACATGCCTAGGAGCATTGTCCAAAATGCAGCATTTTCACAAACATCTGTTGGCACTCCTCACAGGTGCTTAGTTTGGTGGAAACCACCATTTTGAGGATGTTAAAACAAGAATCTAGTAACAGCGTGCAGACGTCTGCAGGTCTTAAAAATATATCCTTGATTCCTCTGTTTCTTGTTCTTTGGTTTCTGTTCATTTTGGTGGGGTTTTATACATTATTGGTGTTTAATTTGTGATCCTGAAGCATCTCCTTCAGTTCAATGTTCACCATCAGATTCAGGTTTCAGGTGAGAATGAGAGACAGGGAAGTGAAGGAGAGTATCAAAGAGTCCTGTATTTTTTCTAAAATTGCCCTAGGAACAGAGGTTAATTCCCCAAAGTAGGACATCCTGGGAGACATTGCAATTTTTGTTGTTCATTGATAAGAGAGATTAAAATCACAAACATGGTGATTTGAACCCAACCCAACCTTAAACATACATTCATTTTTTCTGCTGAAATTTCACCTTCCTACCAGTTTTATCAATTGAATGTGGAATGTCACATTGATGGGAGACTTCCAGAATTACATAACAACCTTTTTTCCTTATGCCATATATAGGTTGTGGCCTGGTGGGAACCCTGGCAGGGAGCTGTAAATGCTGTGACATGAAAAATGTAATGAAATGCTGCAAACATTTGGGATAGCAGCAGTTCCCATGGCATCATGCAGGATGGAGTGTGTAATTTGGGAAGCTCTGCCATTCCATATTGAGGGAGGAGAGCTCTTTCTCTGCCCCTCACATGCAAAAGCTGAGTAATTGAAGTGTATGTTAATAGAATTTTAGAAAACCGTCTGGAATTGGTCTTGGCAGCCCATGAGGCAGAGCAGCCCTGCTGTGTCCTCGCTGGCTTTGCCTCACCTGGCACAAGCAGCATGAGCACCGGGCACCGAGCCACTGTGAGCGGTCTCCTGCCACCCTCGCCACCCTCAGCTCCCTGTGGCTGGGGAAACAATTTCGTACAGAAATAAGGGCTGGAGTTTTTAAAGCTCTTTGGAGGCTGGCTGTAAGAGCATGGGATTTGGGTAAATTCTGTGTTTAGTGAAGTTTATTTACTTTCATGCACAAGTTAACATTTGAGTTCCTTTGGACATAGGAGGGTGTTAATTTTCACTTGTTTAATGATGCTTCCTGTCTTTCTAAAGAATGAGGTTATATGAGGTAACTTTCCCCTCTGCCTCATATCAGCCTTTTCTATTAAATTCCAAATATTCTGTCTTAAAAAAAAAAAAAAAAAAACAAACTCAACCCAACCCCTCAGTAAAAGACAAAAAAAAATATGAGCGCAAAAGAAAGCCCCAAGGACACTGTGGCACCCCGTGCCCACAGCTGCCCAGGGCCCAGCGTTGGGCCGGGACGCTGCTGGCATGGGGAGAGCAGTGCCCTGTAGCAACACTTGTTGTGTTTCTCTTTTTGTAGGTAAGTTCGGTAAGGACAGGACTGGGGAGCAAGTGCCCCGTTCCAGTGGCTTGCCCCATGCCCTCAGGATTAGCTCCTGGAGCCGCGCCGTCCCTGCCAGTGCCCGTGCCGGGGCCCGCCCTGGCTGGCGCGGTGACACCGTACGTGATGCCTCTCTGTCAGTACGGAGCCGTGTTCCCTTCGCCTGTGTACGGAGTGCCGTGGCCGGGGCCGGTGGCGCAGCCGGGGCTGGTCCGAGGGCCCGGCATCGTTCGCTTCTCGCCGCTGGGCCGGAGCTGCCTGCGGATGTACCCGGTGCCGCTGCAGCGCCCGGCCCGGCCGGCCGGCCCGCGGCTGCGCATGACCTAGCGCGGGGCCCTGCCGCGGGGACCCGGGCCTGAGGGACTCTGCCAGGGGGTGGCCTTGCCGCGGGGACCCGGGCCTGAGGGACTCTGCCAGGGGGTGGCCTTGCCGCGGGGACCCGGGCCTGAGGGACTCTGCCAGGGGGTGGCCTTGCCGCGGGGACCCTGCCCTGGGTTTTGATGCCGTCGTGTTGGAGTGTTTGCTCTGTACGTGCCGTGCTCTGTGTGGGATGAGGCAGGGCCCCGGGCACGGCCGTACCCTGCATCAGCAATCACTGTGAGGCGGCATCACCACAGATCGTTTGTTGTCAAGGCAATACCTGCTTCTGTCCCGTTGCTGAAGACACTTTATTCCTTGTGTTCTGTTTCACACTTGTGATCCTTAACATCATTGTACTTGAACTGATAATTAGCAAATTGTACTAACCCTGCAGGAGTTCAGTGCCTTGAATCTCAGCTTTCCAGTCCCAGCTGGAAAGAGATGTACAATTATTTGAAAGGTGTATTTTATTTACAATCTGCTTGAGAGTTGGAGGTATTTTTATTTGCAAAGATATTGCAGGTTTACAGTTGATGTTCCTCATCAGCTTCCTTCTGCTGTAAATGCTTTGTTTTTATTCACGGGTTGAATTTTCATTTCTGAAGCTTTTAGAAATAAGAATTGTGAGGTGAGGTTTCTTTGACATGCTTGTTTGATGCACTGATCGTAAAATTGTTGGTGTTTGTACAAGGAGTAGTGAAGTGCACGCTGTAATGTAAGAGCTTCTACAGAGTGATCCAAGGAAGGTGTGTGCAAGGACAGGGGAGCAGCTTCAGGCAGCGCTCTCCGTTCTCCTTCCCAGCCTGTGGCAAAGACATTGTAGATGATGACTTAATTCTGTAACAGGCAGCAAATGCTGTTTTCCTCTGGATCAGCAGCACACTGGATTTCATTTCCTTTCCCTGTGTCGTGGGCTTTTATAATTTAGTTAAATCACAAGCTTTTGCATGTTCCATAAGTGAAGACAAGTACGTGGAACTGTTGATTCTGGCAGACCGTGTCGGCACGTGGCTGTGAGCCCCGTGTGAGCAGAGCACGCACACATGTCCAGATTCTGCTCCAGCCCCTGAGCTTGACGGTGATGTCTGGTCCCTGGTGTGCCAGCTGTGTTCATGCTAAAACAGAATAAAAATGTCAAGCTGTTCTTTTTCGTATCTGACACTCCAGGTTTAGTGTCTCACTGCCTTCTGTTTGTAATGATTTATTTATTTATTTATCTTTATTTTTACCCAAGTTTGCACTCCAGGTGGCACGGACACCTCTCTCCTGTTCGAAAGTTGCTTTTTTCCTATTTTACTGTGCACAGAGCCTCCACCTACACTTAGTGTAAAGGCACAAGGTAACCACTAAAGCTGGTTTGCCATGGTAAGTCTCCTTCCTTCCCTGAGTGCTACAGGCAGCACTACAGGCACAGGACCCAGGTGTGGCCACAGCCAAATGCCCCACAATGACATTTTGTAGCCCTCTGCTGAGGAGCAGAGACATCCTGTGCTGCCAAGCTGTGAATTGTATAGTTCTATTGTACTTCAAGCATTATACCGGTCTAAATTACTTTGTTTGTACCCTTTGAATATATTATTCCATCAATTCAGTTAGAATTGAATTTATAGACAATTATGCAGAGTCTTCTGCCTGGGCAAAATACTTACTGCAGTAAGAGATTTCTGTTCTCTGTACCATGTATCTTTAATTTGTTTGGGTTTTTTAGATTCATGTCTGTATGCTTCATGAGCAAACATGGAAAATATGTTCTCACACCGGGTTCCCTTTGGCTCACACTGATTCCTACAGTTTATGTTGCTATTGCCTGTATAGTCCATCCCTTGTATACTGACAAAGTCAGTGGCACTAAAAGCCCCAAGAAATTGTATAGATTAAAAAGAAAAATAAACATTTTGTGCTTGAAAACGGTGTGAAAAACCCAGTGTTTTCCTAAACCATAGAGCAGTGTCAATTTCTAGCTGTTCCAGGTAATTCTGTGTTTGTTTTCCAGACTCGTTCTTGTCCATGGATTGGTAGCAGGAGCAGATATGGTGCCTCCAGCAGTTGTTGGGTGCTCCCCACAGCGTGCCCGGGGTGCGTGCTCGCACCTCGGGGGCACTGAGCCCCGAGCCCTGGCTGGGGCTGGGCTCTGCAGAGCAGAGGGGCTGCAGCCTCAGCAGCCTCTGAGCACATGGCTCCCTCAGGGGTGCCGGTGCTGCTCGTGAGGATGCTCAGTTTGGTAGGTGGGAAAGAGGCCCATGAACTCTCTCTTGAGCTGCAAAGTACTAGGGAAGCCCTTCTGAAGGATCCTGGCATCATTTAAGTGTGAGGAAGCTTGGTCCCGTTGCCAGCACCCTTTTTACAGTCACCGTCATTGGGTGAGGCTGCAGGAGAAATGAGAGAAGGGCATGCAGGTGTGACACTCCTGCTTCTGTCTCCGTGTGGCTTTGCTGTCTGTGCTGTGTTGGTTGGGAAGTCTCTGGCCCACGCTGGTGCCCGTGTGCCCCGCGGTGACTGCGTTGCATGGCTGTGCTCCCGGGAGAGCGGGGTGGCTGGGGAGCAGGGCATGGGTGCAGCTTCCAGGGCCTTGGGGGGTGTGCACCTGCCTGTCACACTGGGGCAAGCAGGAGCTCAGATTCTGTTGCTGGCATTGTCGTACTTGTGATTTGTAATTTCCTGATGGCTCTCTTGGCCGCAGCTCTTCTGGCTGTTCAATTCAAGCCTTGGTTTTTTTGCCCTTGGTTGTGAGGATTGTGTCTCAGGGTGCTTTGACCTCAGTGGCAATTAAGCAAATGACACGAGATTAAATAAATGGAACAACTTCTTGAGCAAAAGGTGAGCCAAGAGTAAGACAGAACTGAGGGGTCCATGCTGCACCATCACAGTGGGAAAACTGCATCTTAAAAGATCCCCTACAGATCCCAGAACTGAACTTGTTTTATTCCTGACTGGATATTGCTTCAACATGCAGCAAATGGGTCAAACCTGCTGGCAGAATTCCTGGCCTTGCTGGTTCCAGTCCTGCATGTCCTGTAGCTCTGCCATCACCCAACGTTCCCAGCCAGCACTGTGCTGCAGGGATATGTGGGAAGTCAGCACAGAGGCCAGCTTCAAATACCAGGTTTCAATGAGGGAGCTCACAGATCCCCTGATTCTCAGTCTTCCAGTTATAGAAATATAATACAAATCTTGAAAAAATGTTTAACCCCCATAGCCAGTAGTGGGAAAGTTTTGCAGTTTTCAGTTTTGGCAGTTGGGAAAGTAGTTGAAGTTTTGCTGTGTGCCTTTCATTTGGCTTTCTGATTGCCTTATGACATGATGGACTGTCTTAATGCACGACCACATCCTGCTTTCCCACTGCATTCCCAGCTTGCTTGGAGTAAGACTGGACATGGAGAGGGGCTGCTGCCATTGCCAATACTCATCTGCCACAGGGATGCAAAGCTGGGCACTGGAGATGGCAGGGAGAAACACTGCAGTGGTTTAAGGCTCTTTTGCAAATCTGGATTCAACTTCCCTGGAACAGATTTCACTCAAAAGAATGGTGCAACACTGGCCCTTGCAAATTGTTTGCATGTTTAACTCTGGTCTCTACAACTTTAAAGAGGGAATATTTTAAAAATTCCTTTAAAAAAGAAAAAAAAATCTTTAAGAAGTTCATTTAAAGAGAAAATGTTGCCCAGAGCAGCTGTGGTTTCCTCTGGATCCCTGGAAGTGTCCAAGGCCAGGTTGGATGGGGCTTGGAGCAACCTGGGATAGTGGAAGGTGTCCCTGCCCAGGACAAGGAGTGGGATGAGATGGGCTTTAAGGTCCCTTCCAACTCAAACCATTCTGGGGCTCTGTGATTACTTAACCATTACTCCATATCTCTCTTTGCTCTGCTCCGTTTGTGCCTTCTGCTGTTCTCTGAAGTCCTTGACATTAGCTGAGGGCAAGACAAGGGACTGAATGGGTGAGGTGTGGCATTCTCTGTGCTCCTGCAGAGTTACTTGTGTTGGGAACCAGGTGCTAAGAGACAGGATTCCTGAAATGAGCTTCTTCCTCCAGGGGAGGTTTTGCTGTTTGGTGTTTGTGGAAGGAAATCACTCATACTTTGAATCATTAGTTTAACTTAGCTTTGCCAATGGTAGCTCTTTCCCTTCAAGCATTTTTCATGATCCCAGTGCATTATTGTCAGGTCTGGAAACATGGAGAATTTTTCCAGAGAAGCCCCATGGATATTTTGTGGGTCCATGTTGATTTTGTCTGGTTGGTGTTTGTTTGAGCAGAAAAAACATCTGTCCTCACACATGCCTTGGAAGCTGGCTTTGGAGAGTTGTAGCCAGAGGTCTCCCTTCTAAAATTTATGTGATGTCAGTATTGCTTTCCCTGTCATCCCCATTCCCCCTACCACCCCCACTGCAGTGAAGGAAAAGGTTCAAGGTTTCTGGAGTGAGATGGATGTTAATCATCAGATAACAGCCATTAGGGCAAAAGCTTGCCTTGTTTTCTGCCTTGCTGCCAGCTAGTTCCCCCCAAGTTTTCCATGGATGCTGTTGAAATTGTTGGCTCAGTCACATATGAAACAGTTTCTGACTGTGTGTCATGTACAGTAAGGTTTCCTTGCCTTCTCCAGTTCTTTGTCTGCCCTCCTCTGTCCTGATTTTGGATGATTCCTATGGGGCAGTGTGGGCACAGTCTCTCTACAGAGTGTACGACAGGGAGCTCACACTCTTCTTGTCATGGCTGGATGAATGCCTGATATGGGATTGAATTTATAAAACAACAAAACCATGATTGTTTGTTATTTCTGGCTATGATTATTTATAACGTATTGAGTCCTTGAGGAGCACCTCAGTGGTTCACGGTGTTGGGCACCTGGTTGGTGCTTGGGCAGACTCAGCTTCAGTGAAGTTGTCTGATGTGCTGACCTCTGTTATTATTTTATACCTGACAGTCAGTTTCCTGTCTGTATACCCCAGAAATGAACCAGTTTGTTGATCTGGTGGGAATTGTGCTGTAACTCATATGTGTGCCTTTTGGTAGGGGCAACATTTCTGGCTGTGGAGTGATCACTGTAGATTCAGCAGGACAGGGATGCTCCAGCCCCAGCCATGCTGCTGCCAGGCTCCAGAAGTGCAGTGTAATGAGATAGATTTTAGGGACTGTCAGGCTACAAATTTTGCTTTATGAAGGAATTTGTTGCTCAGAGGGGTCTGGATGTGCTGCACTGTGTGAGCAATGGCTGTGTGAGCACAGAGATCACTTACATCTGATGCAGGTGGAAGTCAGGCTCAGACCAGGAGGTGGCTGCTGTTGGGAATGATGTGATCCTCTCTGCTCCCTTCTCAGGTGTAGTCATGTGCTATCAAGGCTGTTTCAGCATATGCTTAGATCTATATTTGATTATCAAACTTCTCCCTTGAAATATTTTCTCATGAGGAGTTTAGGCTCTGCATGGGTCAAGCCTTCAGTGTGACACACAAAGTCTCAGGAAGCTTTAGGTCTCACTTGGTCACTGTGGAGAAGCTGTTCATAGACAATGCCCTATGATTTGATAAAGTATCTATTGCAACACTGAAATTCTTGTGCAAAGCACTTGGTTTTTCCAAATCTGGTGAGCAAGGAGCACTTGGATTAATTTCTTTATGCAACAGGATGAATGTGTGGTGAATATTGAGCACATTATTGTAGTCACAAGGCAGAGGGAAAAGTTAGGATTGTTTTTTCCCCTCAGAAAGGAGCACATCCCTACACTTTGCCTTTCATGACTGAGGCGCCACTTGAGTGCCAGCTATGGCACTGTGGCTTTTGAAGAGCTGGGCATGGTGAGAGCCTCTCCAGCCACTCTTCAGGGGACTTCTCTGGGCCTGTTGCAGTTTTTGTGAGGCATTTAGGGCCCTGACACCTTGTAAAAACTTAGGAGATTTAAAAGAAATAACCAGCTGCCAGTCCTTTTCAAATGGGGATTCTTCAGTCTTCTGACATAAAACAGCCCCAAAAAGTATTTACTCTGGTGTTGCTTTTTTTCAATGACTTTTGCAAATAAAGTCAAAACTTCCTCAGCATTTCTAATTTGTTTGTCAGACTAGACAGACTGAATCTGGTATCTTTGTCCCAGATAGGCAGCAACTGCAGGTTGTGCCACGGCTGCCTTTTCCCACAGTTCTGCTGTCACCAAGCAAACTCATGGGTAACTGCGCTCCCCGACCTCTCCAGCACTGCTGCCCACCCAGCCTGGGAAAGCTCAGGCTGACTGAGCCTGGAGTAAGAAGCGGGGTGGTTGCCCATGGCTGAGCAACTGTGGGGGTTTGTTTTAGGAGCTGAGTGCCTGGGGAGCTGGCTCTGCTCTGGGTGTTGTGGCTGACCCACTGCTGCCAGATGTTTTTTTCCCAGTTACCTGGAGACAGTTAATTTTGTCCTATTTTCCTGGATGAAACTCCATGCCAAATGCTGGTTATTCACCATGAGCACGTGTTGGGGTGGATCCAGGCTTCAGAGCTGACGATCAGAAGCTCAGGGAGGAATTATGAGGAGGACATGATTTTCCTTCCCTTTGTTCCTGTGAACAAGCAGAGCAGGCAATACAGGTGGGAGAAAGTTGGGGTTGCATCTGACAAACACAAAGCCCAGACCACAGAGACCCAGCAGGAGCTGTGCCAGATCCTGGCAGTGTCTGCACCGTGCGCTGTCCCCAGCATCCCCTGCCTCCCCTGCTGCTCCGGGGATTCCCTGCACGAGCTTTGAGCCCTTCCCAAAGCTGTCTGCTGCGTCAGATCTGTCTGTGCTGCCCCTCTACAGCAGCGTGCGTGTGTCTTTCTGTCTGTGGAGCCGTGTGGGGTGCATGTGCCCCAGCACGGCCCCAGTGTGGCCAGCGCGTGTGGCGCGGGCTGGGGGACACGAGGTGACACCCTCAGTGATGTGCTGCTCTCGGCACCTCCCTTGCC